TCTTTATCAACCCAGACAACATAGTCTGATCAAAGAAAATCAAGCCAGATCATTTCAAAGACAGGGGTGCCTGTTTGAACTTTCAGCTGCCGTTGGCTGGATTAGATGTGGCCCTAAAATCAACCCTTTTCAATCCACACTAATACACTACAATTTCTATGGATTATTTTGCTTTTGGCATCTTGGCATTTTCTCTTTTGGGCCACAGACTTCCTTTCCTTGCTTCACCTACAGAATATATTTTAATTTTCAACCCCATATCCTGCTTCTCTTTTCCCAAAATACTCTCGAAATCTTGGCAGAAGTCCATGAGAGAGTTCAGTGTGTCTCCAGCCCCGCCTGCAGGACAGAAGCTGAATTGCATATCTCATGCTCATCAGAAGGTGCTCTGCTGTTTTATAATGAACAAAATATGATTCATAGCCCTACGGGCTGTCCAAATAGTATAAATGAATCCCTGGTAGGCAATTAAGAGCTGGGTATAAATTTCGGTGACTGGATTCTGTAAATTCACACAAACCGTTATTAAATTTATATAGAGATGGTCAACTAGACTTAGGCAGCAGGAAGGGTATTTCAGTGATAAGCAGCAATTTTAGTAATAAAAATGGACTTTAGCAATTTCAGGGAGAGTTCCTGGCATTTTGAAATCTGTGTTGGGTTTTGAAAAGTGTTCCTCACTAAGTTGCATTTTCCATTTCCTGCTTCCATGCAGCTCTCCCAGTTCTTCCCTTGGATCCACACGATACATTTGCGCAGCAAAGTTGCAAAACTTAATCTAAGCTCAGTTTTTAACTTTGTTACTCAGACTGTGGTGTGAACCAGACCTGATGAGGGGGTGGGAGATAGTTTATGATTCAGTGTATTGTTGAAAGCGGTAAAATATATTGCAGAGAGTGAATGTTGTGAGTTATAACACAGATTTTAGATCTCAGAAGATGGGTCATTTGTCTACGACATGTTTCTCTAAACCCAGCTTCTCAATTAGGGTACCTTTCTAAAGTAAATCTATAATTTCTCCTAGTCTGGTGTGTGTGTTTATGTCTCATTTCTAGTGGTTTGCTCTGTTTAACTGCCAACATAATTAAATCATTAGAGAGACAGTTGGTTCTAGTGATTAAAGTGCTGGTCTAGAAACCAGGAGATTGTGAGTTCTAGTCCCACTTTAGGCATGAAAGCTGGCTGGGTGACTTTGGGCCAATCACCAGGAGACAGTAAGTACTTAGTCCTGCCTTAGGCATGAAAGCTGACGAGTGATTTTGGACCGCTTGCCCTTTCCCAGATTAACCTACCTCACAGGGTAGTGGTTATAGGGAAAATAGGAAGAAATATTAGATATGCTCTCTGCCTTGAACAAAATTACAAAGAATGTAAATAAAAAATTCACTGTACCACAATTGATTAATTTCTAGAGACAATCTAGAGCAGTGTTTCTCAATCTCAGCCACATTAAGATGGGTGGACTTCAACTCCTACAATTCCCCCATGGGAGTTGTAGTCCACCCATTTTAATGTGGCCGAGGTTAAGAAACCCATTCTAAATGTGTTTAACAGAGTAGATTACATATTCTCTGCAAAGTGAGACATCTCTATCAGTGTTTAAAATGTGAGGAGATTAAGTGACACTTAGATACGCACACTGGGAAAATCTGGACTTCACATCAATTACCGGAGACATTCAAATCCATCCCCAAGGCAAATTCTCCTACTTATTCATGTGGATTCACACATTTATTTAGGATATATTTAATTGTCCTTTAACAAAAGCTCCCAGAGCAATATAAAATAAAATGATAAAGGCAATAAAGAGCTAAATGGAAGAAAGCAGCCAAAAAGAAGTTTTGTTTTAAAATCAAACCTGCAAGACAGACAACAAAGGTTGGACATCTGCTGACTTTTACTCAGGTAAAATGATCGAAATGACAAGCCAATGGGGGTGCCAGGTGGGCCTGGCTGAGAAGAGGCTGAATTTCTCCATCATCTGGACTTCTTGTCTTTCTGTCTCTGGCCAATTATTCAACAAGATTGGAGTGGGAAATGTTTTTGCATTTATGTTTTTGGTGTCAACTAGAAAGAAATGGATTATATTTTCAAGGAGTTATTTTTTAAAAGTTCCACTGCAACAGACAAGATGTAAAATTTCAAAAAAAACCCAAACCCGTATTTCTATTAAAATGGTTCTTTCCAGGAATGTGTGGCTACAATTCAATGCAAAAATGTTGTATCTCCTGCCTATGTGCCTATTGAGGCTTATAAAGGCATGTGACCTCATCTTGCCTGGAATGTTCTCCATCTAGCTCTGTTTCCTTTGGATGCCGTTCGATTCTGAAATAAATAACGGATTCTTTCTTTCATTAAGCCTTTTTAGGAATGTATGGGGCTGCTGCTCTCAATGCCTTATTTGGCAAGGATTGGCTAAGCTGAGAAGTCTTTTTTCTACCTGGTGTCAGAGTGAGAAACTTAGTTCCCCAAACTGGCCCCTACACCTGGAGAAAAAGTTCTTATTAAATTCAGAGATGGCAAGGAATCTGTCTTTTTGTTTGCACATAATGAGCCAAATGTCCTGTATGATAAATGCCTTGCCCCATTTTCTCCAGTGAGCCATATGCAAGTGAGCCACCAGGGGGCAGTGGGTACTATGATTTCAATTCAGTGTTCTATTTTCCCTATACAGCCTGCAATGTGCAAGATATCCACTACGAGGCAGAGGTATCCAAACTTGGCAACTTTAAGACTTGTGGACTTCAACTCCGCAAGACCTGTGAAGTTATGAACCTCACAAGTCTTAAAAAGTTGCCAAGTTTGGAGACTCCTGTTCTATAGCTTCAATATTTACCCTTTTATGGATCTGTAGCCTGCAATACTCAAGTGAGTCATCAGGGGGCAGTATCTCCTATCTGATGAATATATTGCCTATTTTCCTCACCGAGCCAAAAGGCAAGCGAAACACCAATGGGACACCATGTCCTAGAGGTTCAATATACAGCCCCATAATAGCTCTCAAGTTTACAGTACCTGAATATAGGTGTGGAATGCAGAATATTCAAATGAGCTACTATGGAGCAGTGTTTTGGCCAATACTGGCCAAATTACCCTATTGATTCTGGAATACTGTATTGAACTGAGCCATAGGGCCATATATATCCAATAGGTTCAATACATTGCCATATTTTAGCTACAGAATCTATCGTTCAGGTCAGCCCCAGGGACAGAATGTCAGATAGATTCCATTATATTGTCCTAATTACCAATGAATCTGCAATGCCCACTCATCTGCCCAGTATCCATATTAGCCATGTGGGGGCAGTATCTGGATAAATTAAGCATTGCTTTCTTCGTTGTGGGTGCAAAAGAACCACCAGTAGCAATTTGTTCTATATGTTATATGCATTGCCAGTTTTCCCTAATGACCACCAGGGGCAGTATAGCCTATAGCTTAAATGTCATTTTTCCATATTAAGACATTAATACCCAGGATAGCCAGTAGAGGCAGCATGTCTTATATGTTAAATGCATTGTCCTATTGCCTATGATGAAAGGGGGAAACGGGGCTATTTATTCAAGCTTTCAAATATACTGCCCCCTGTGGCTGTCTTGGATGTTAAACACTCCATGAAGAAAATAGAGCAATGTATTTCAGCTAAGTTTAGAACAGGGGTGTCAAACTCAATTTAATTGAGGGACGCATCAGGGTGGTGTTTGTCTTTGGGGGGGTGGAGGGGGCGTGGCTGGGGTAGGTGTAGCCAGATTGAGTCACTCATGTCAGGGGTGCCTGTGGCTCAAGTGCTCTGCCAGCAAAAACTGGATCCTGAGCTCCATTTTTGATGGGCAAATAGCTGCAGGAGGCCCTCTTGAGCTCTTTTTTTCAACTGCTATGACCTCCTGCAGCTACCTGCCCATCAAAAATGGAGCTCAGGATCCAGTTTTCACTGGCAGAAGCACCAGGGACTGGACCTTCAAGGTGCACGGGGTGCTTAGATCTGGCTCACAGGGCTGCCCTGGAAACAGCAAAGGTCCACCCCGTGCACCGGATCTGGTCCCTGAGCCTTGAGTTTGACACCCCTGATCTAGAACAAGACTATCAGGACTTTCTAGTAGTGTCCAGGAAGCTGTAAACAAGGGATTCAAATTTTTTAACAACTGGTTCTGTGGGCGTGGCTTAGTCGGTGGGCATGGCTTGGTGGTCATGTGACTGGCTGGGCATGGCCAACTCAACATCACTCACATCAAGGCACACATCTCCTCGCCTGGCCTCTCATGACTGTGGGGATGCTGCAACAGTCATAAGTGTGAAAAACGGTCATAAGTCACTTCTTTCAGTGCCATTGTAACTTTGAATGGTCACTCCACACAAGCAAAGTACCAGCAAAGGAGGGAAAAAAACTCCAGAGAAGTTCCAGAGACAGGAAGTCTAGTCCTGCCAAGAATGTAATAAGGATTAACGGAGAGGCAGTTTCTGTAAGCAACACCAGAATGTTTCCTTCCTGCCTTCCTTACAGGATTAGGCCATTAATTTCCTCTAACAACCGGTTCTCCGAACTTCTTAGAATGTTAACAACCGGTTCTAGCGAATAGGTGCAAACCTGTAGAATCCCACCCCTGGCCTAGATCATGGGAACTTTCCCACCCAAGGACTGTTTCCCAGGGAAGCCCAGCCTTCTTTCTTCCTCTTCTCAGTTTACGATATTGGGAGATTTTTTTAGACCTCCTATTTGATCTACACTGCAGAAGCCTTTCTTAAATGCCAACTTTTCAGCCACACAGATCTGAGGGACAACCCCCCCCCCCATGAAGTCAAAAGATACAAAACCCTCCGTTCTTTGCTGCCCTCTAGTGGTGGAAAGGTTAAAGAACCAACCCATAATCTTCAAGCACTGCTTAATTTTATTCCTTAAAAGTGGTCCAATGACTCAGGGCTCTGCAGAATCAAAATGATTTGCCAAATATTGAAGATATTTGCAAAAATTGAGAACAATGTCACTCTTCCCATTATTGTTACAAGTAAGGCTGTTTTCATATACATTACTATTTAATGGTTTTAATATTGTAATTTTTATATGATTCTGTAAATAAATATTCTACAAATGGGACAATTTTTCATACAGTAAATATCTATAAAGATACCCATACAAGTAAAAGCTCTTTTGTGGTCCTCCATAATTTTTAAAAATGAGGAGGGGTTCTGAGAGGAAAAATTTTAAGAAGCACCACTTAAAAAAAAAGAAAAGAAAAGCAGATGATAGTACAACAGGAAAGAAGGAAAAAATACAGTACACAGAGTAAATACAGTGTTGTGCATGTCAACTGGAGAAAGCTTTTCTTTAAATGGCTTTAGGCAGGGTGTAAAATACCAACCCTTGGGATGCTGCGCATTAAAACTATAGATACAATCCCACTCCAAGTATGTAGACTCAGCAAGCGCAAGGGTATGTGGGAATGACCTTGGGGGGTTGTTGGGGGAATCTATGCTGCCTAGGTAACTATCCAATAAGAGATGCGGAGCCCAAAACTGAATAACGGGCAGAGGAAGAAACTTGAAAAGGATCCACTTTACAGCCTCCTTAGGCTGTAAAAGAAACAGTGAGAAATTTGTACTTTCAGACTTGCAAAATGTCTATTAATTTACTCCTGTTTGGGCAGGTTGTTAGACTAGTTGACCTACAAGACCCTTCCAACTTTATTGTTCTGTTCTCTGGGACAGCGGAGGAGCACTGCAAAGCAGCGACGTGAATATTGTCTTCCATACAGAAGTTGGAGGACTGATCCCTGAACATATATTCTTTCTTGTGGAGAGACTGGAACGAGGTTATTTCTAGGTCTCCTCAAGACAATATATGGTAACAAGCAGAGGTGGGATTCAGCAGGTTCTGACCAGTTCTGGAGAACCGGTAGCGGAAATTTTGAGTAGTTGGGAGAACTGGCAAATTCCACCTCTGACTGGAGGTTTTACAGTATCCTTCCCCTGCCACGCCCACCAAGCCCACAGAACCGGTAGTAAAAAAAACAGTAGTTAAAAAACATTGAATCCCACCACTATTCTGAAGAAAGGATTGCAGGTAGCTTTTGACTTATGACGTCAAAGGAGATTCTCAGTCATCAGGTCATGGTTGTCTCACAAAGGTGCTTTTTCATTGGACTTTCTTGGTTTCTTCCTTTGAAATCGCTCCACTTCTCATCCAAGAAGCTTCTTCAATTCTGACTTCAATTCTAATTGAAACTTCAAAGGAAGAACCCAAGAAAGTCCAGTGGCCTTTCAGAAAAACACCTTGGGGGCTTAACTGATGATCACAGTTGAGTCCTAAGTCTGGAGTCAAGCAATGGTATGACTCGTTTTGCCATCGTTCTTAAGTGAATCCCTGCAGTTGGTTAGTGAGTCATGTGGTCATTAAGCAAGTTTGGCTTCCCCATTGATTTTGCTTTTGGGAAACTAGCTGGGAAGGTCACAAAAGGCCCTTTTAGGTGACCTTAGGACATGGCAACCATCATAAATGCATGCTGGTTCCCAAACGCCCAAATTCTGATCATGTGACCATGGGATGCTGCAATGGTCATAAGTGTGAGAAACGATCATAAGTCACTTTTTTTTCAATGCTGCTGTCATTTTGAATGGTTCCTAAACAAATGGTTGTAAGTTGAGGTTGTAAAAAAGGGGAAATTGTTGTCTTCCTAACAAAATTGTGGAGCTTGTCTCCCAGATATGGCTTAGTGCCAGAGCGTGGGAATTTGGCCAACTTTTACAAAGAGAACAATTTTTTTTTTTTTTTTTTTAAAGGGAGACAAGGAGAGATCCAGGAAATTACAGGCCAATCATTTTAACATCAATTCCAGGAACATTAGGAGAAAAACAATACACTTACAAAAATAACTCCTACAGATGGACGAGAACCATGAAGGCTGCAAAGACCGAGGCTGCCTTGCAGTCCATGGGCACCAGAATAGAGGCAACCCTCTTAGCATTGCATGGGTTCCCTTTCGAAAGATCTTTGACAGAGTTTGCCTGGAGGAAACTTAATTGCTTCTCATAGATGGGAGTTCTCGACTTATAACAGTTCATATAGTGATCATTCAAAGTTGCAACGGCACTGAAAAATGTGACTTATGACCATTTTCCCCATTTATGACCGTTGGGGCATTCCCTATGGTCACATGATCAAAATTCAGAGACATGGCAACGGACGCATCTTTATGACGGTTGCAATGTCCCGGGAATCCCTTTTGTGACCCATAAAGTCAATGGGGAAGCCAGATTCACTTCACAAGCGTGTTACCAATGTAACAATTGCAGTGATTCACTTAACAACTGTGGCAAGAAAGGTCACTGAAATTTCACTGAACCAATGTCCCACTGAACAACAGAAATTTGGGGCTCCATTGTGGTCGTAAGCTGAGGATTACTTGCAAAAGAATCTGAACCTTCTGAAAGTTTCAGTGCTTCTTCATTTTTGCGGAAATTTTATTTATTTATTTAAAACATCTATATAGCATTACATGTAACACACATTATACTTATATAAAGGTAACTATATCGTGTTTTATGTATATTATGATAATGTGTATGTTGCATTACATATAACATACAGCAATAGTGTTTGACCTTCAGCCGTTTGATTAGCAGCCAGTGAAAGTTGCAACAGCATGGGAAACTGTGACTTACGGCCAGTCCTCACGCAACTGTCACAGCATTCCCATGGTCACATGGTCAAAATTTGGGCATTTGGTCCTGGCAGGTGTGATATTGGCAGTTGTGGAGTCACCTGATGGCTATTTGTTACCTTCTCAGCCGGTTTCTGACCCGCAAACTCAATAGGAAAAGCCAGGTTCACTTAACAAGGATAGTGCTCCTCTTAACAACCAGGGATCAGGGATGACTTGCTTAGCAACGAATTTGCTTAGCAACCGAAATTCTGCTCCCAATTGTGGTCTTAAGTCGAGAACTACCTGTGTTTGGGCATGTGTCTGGGTGTGTATGTGTGGTTGTGATAAAGAGCGATAGAACAAATAGACTGTAATTCTTTGCCTATTTGTGTTGGCCTCGTGTGCCCTGATTAAGTGGGTCAGCATTCAAAACAAGGCTCAAGGAGAAAACAGGCCCTTCCTTGTAGCTTGAAAGAGCCAAACAAAGTAGAAAGGAAGATCGGGGCCTCTGAGCACATCAGCACACACGTAGACACACCTGCACACACAGAGAAACATGCACGTACTCCCCCACACACGCACATGCATGCACATACACACCTGCATGTGTATTTGCACACACACAGAGAGAGACACACAGATACACACACTGCCCGATGCTCCGGGTTGCCCTCTTTTTGGCACTAAGGGCTGCAAAGGAGGATTTCCAAGGTGACAACATCCCAGCACAACAGGAAAGCGAGACAAAGGCAGGAGACCTTATCTCGGCGGTCCAGCTTCCCAGGCTTGGCCTTTCCACCCCTGTGAAAGCATTCCAACGGAGAGGAAGGGAGCCAAGACTTTGCAAGTCGTCCCCCCCCCCCCACTTCCTAAGGGAGGCCTTGAGCGGGGTGTGCAGCAGAGGTGCAGGAATGACAGAAGTTGCCTCTGAGCCTCCCACTGGTGGTGATACTTCCTATTTCATTTTATTGGATGGTGTTTTATCTGCAACCCATTATTTGGACGGCCCCGAATGACACCGGGCTCTGCTCTAATCCAGATGTAACAGTGGCATTTTCAATTATTTCATTTGCAGTATTTTTTGGGGGCAGGGGGCAACCCAAACAATTTCAATCTGGATAAAAAAAAGCCAGACACATCTGGATTTTCAGGCTTTCTTTCCCTTTCCAGCCAAAGAAAATGTACCCTTGCATTCCGCGGCGGTTTGCCATAAGGAGTCCTGACGCGACGGGAAAACTAGAAAGTTGGTATCCTCATAACAAATGGATCGTGCTCCTGGGGAACAAGCGAAGTATCAACAAAACGCCAATTTTCCTACGGAAAAACTCTCCCTAAGTCTCCCACTTTCACTTCCTTCATCCTTTTTTTTTTCATTTATTTACAGCAGGTGGCAGCAGTAAGTCAAAGTGGCCTAAGCTCCAAGTAGGGAGACCAGCAATGAAATTTGAAAAGCATCCTAAAAGGAGACCAGGGCAAAGCAGATCTGAATTATCAAGAAAGCTATACAGGTATTTCGCCAGGAACCAGCCACCTTCATAGGGGCTTTATCTTTCACTGTATCCATGCATAAGCCACGCCCTATTCCCCCCCTTCTCCCTCTCTCTTATCTATCATCTATCTCTATTCATCTGTCACCTTATTCTCTCTCTGTTTTTATCTATTTATCTATCATTTTATTTAGCTTTTTCATTTTCTTGCTATATATCATCTCTATCATTCTCTCATTATCATCTCTATATTTCTTTCTATCTAATCTATTTATCTATCTCTATCTATCCTATCTTTATTATCTCCTTCCCTTTCTCTCTTTTAATATTTCTGTTACCTAATGTTAATCTATATCCATTACATTTTCAGGCTTCAATCGCTTTGTGGAAATTCAGTAGTTCTTCATGGAGAAAAGAAAAAAAACTCTCTACAAATAACCAGTTCTATAAGCTTTAAAATATTTAGACTAATCATCACATTTAATACAGGAAGGGACCTAGATAAAACTTGGCTGGGAATCTAGGACAGGGCTGATAAACTAATCACACACAATTCCTGCCAGCATCTTCGATGCACTTTATTCATGTCACAAATAAACAAAAGCAAAATAATAAATACTGAAATTGAACTGAAGATGTTTCGTGCTTAGTTAAAATAGCAGTATTTTTCTTTTCCAGGAATAAAGATTTTTACCTAATAAGAGAAAATACTTTTTTTTTCTTTTTGAAATGACATTTCTCACCTGGGGAATTTGGGAGAGGGGGATTTTGTTGGCATTTTGCTTATTCACTCAAGTGCCAACTTTGATTAGGTAACAGGAAGATTCAGAATTAGGTGAGATTGGTCCTGGGAGACGGTAGACTTCTAAAACATCCCAGGGTTGTAGACCTAGACTGGGAAGTTGAAAAGAAATCTGAAAAAAATCAATTGTCAACTATTTCCATAATGTAGCCAAGGAAACTGCACATGTATAGATGCACATGCACAGTGTCAGATGAACAGAGCTCAACTGAAAGGAGGTTTTCCCCTTTGGATACACATCTGAACTTTAACTTCTATAGCATAGGGCCTAAGGCTAAGCAAGGGATAGAATAGACAGATAGGCTGGCATGGAGGTCCTCCTTGCCAAACTGAGTAGCTGTAAAATTGGAATTAACAGATGCCTGTGGATGATGGTTGCATATCTACAGCTCTGTTTCAATTCACCTGAAGGAAATTCATCTTTGTTTGGCCTGGATTGCCAAATGAAGGCCAATTAGACCAAATAATGATTTATTTATGTTTAATAGTCATAAAAACGCCGCTCACTGAGAACAGGACAGATTCAAGCCCAGCCTGGAAAGCTAGCTTTCTACCCTGGTTTGCACAATTATACTTTAGCAGATCTGCTACAAATCTAGCAGCTGTGTTTATGGACCATGCTTCATTGGATGGGTTTTCATTTGATTTTGTTCTTTGGAAACTTAGCCTATGGTACAAGTCCAGCTTTTGGGATTTCCACCAATTGTTCCAATCCATAAAATGGGTGTTTTCAGTAACCAAGTTGAAAGAAACAAGGGATGTTCCTTTTCTTTCAAATGAATGCAACTAAGCAGCCCATTAGACCAGCTTCTAATGGCAGCCTGAAGGCTAACCTTGATTAGTCCCCTCCCAGTTCCCCGGCAGGACAGCTCGGCCGAGATTCCCCTAATCTCTGCTTTGATCAGGTATTAGGAGAGGAAGCTCCACTTTCTCCCTTCATCCTCACATAAAAGAGTTTTCCGGCTCCATGGAAGGACTGCTAGCACAGGCACTTCTTCCAAAGCTCCCCGCCTCGGTCATGCATGAACACGCGCCTTTTAAAGCGCTTTTTTCCGCTTCTTTCACACAAATGGCAGCCGCTCGATGTTTACACTAGCGCTTGCAAAGCTTGCAGAATGGGACAAAACCAACCTGCCTAGCTGGCTGAAGGCCTTCCCTTTCAACAGCCTTAAGTTCTCAACAAAGGGCCACTAAGCCAAAGAAGGCTTAACAGCGACAGACTCTCACGCCAGCACGGAAGGTGCAGAGACGGGCATCCAAAGCCAGAAAAGGACAAAGAAAAAGGAAAAAAGGCACTGGGATAAACCGAGAGTGGCTTCAGGCAGGAGGATAAAAAGTTTTCACTGTGGGTCAGAGCTGGGATGGTGCACCAAGTCATTGGACTCGGCAAAAGTTGGTGTTTGGCTATGCGGCAGGGACATGAAAATTAAAAAAAAATATCCATGTGGGTTGAAACGAGGCGGAGGAGACAGGAGGAGGAGAATTTCCTCCTATTTTCCAGTTTAGATGGGCATAAAACAGATGGCCTGGGGGCTGATTTCAACTTGGCTTGGAAAGTCAACTGAAGGACTTTGGCAAAGCACTCAGCTGCTGAAGCCGTGGTGGAATTGCATTGTCTTTGGAGCAGCAATACCTCATGGTGGGCTGAACAAGGAAGCTTGAGAAACACAGGACGTCCTCCTTCCATTGTGGTAGACACACCAGGCAGCTTGACCTCATCCTGGTACCCTCCAGAGATTTGTGCCTTGATGTCCATAGATGGCCATGTTAGAAATTGTGGGGCTTGGAAGCCCAACATCGCTGAGAAGGACTGCTGGAGAAAGGCCAGTGTTGCCTAAAGGATATCAAACACTTTCTTCACTTTGATTACTTTGACTATGGCCTTGGAAGACCTGTGAGGTCTCTTCCAGCCCTGTGATTTTATGTTCTAAGATAGGATAGGCAGGAAAGAACTTGTTCCAGGTTGACAGAGAATCGAGGCTAAGCCAGCCTCCCCCAGTCCGGCCTCTCTCCAGATGGGTTGATTTCAGCCTATATAGCTGTTCTTGAAAGGACACATTGCAGACACATAAAATGAGGCAGGGTTTCTTTCATCTAGTTCATCCGCCATTTTGGAGTCAGTGGCCATTGCTACAGACATGCTTGCTAGGACTAAAAATCCACTTATATATAGATGTACTACCTGAGATGCTTGAAAATTAGGCCCAAGAGGATGACAACTCTTTATTTTACCATGGTTGCCTCTAGGGAAGGTCAATTCAGAGATGCCATCACTTCCAAGAAGGTTCTGTAAGGTAGATCACAGAAAGGGCTTTAAAAAGAAGGTGATGGTTGGTCTCCCAGTCAACAGGTTTCTTCAGATCACTTGCAACTTTCCATCCTTGGTAGGGAATCCTGGCAAGGTTTCCTTCTGATATCTTCAGGTCCCTTTGGTTGTTGGTATGTGAGCTATGCATAACAGAATGTCAGATTGGATATCTTCTCTTGGTCCTTCTCAAGAAACTGTATCATTTTGGTAGTCATTTCAGAGGTTCTCAGGTTTTTTTATCCCCACCATCTAAGGAAGGATTCTCCAAAAGACTTTCCAAGTCCAAAATCCATATGATGGTTCTAGGCTTCCCCCAGAACAGAGATAAAGGCTGCTGTCTTTGGAGGCCAAACCCATAGTAGTTATGTCCTGTGACTGTCCTAGATACCAGATGCTTTGAGGAGAAGAAAACATAGGTCCAACAGAAGGAAATAAGTTCTTCCTGTTATCATAATGCAAGGCTGAAGGATCCAATCTCCTTATTTCTTGTGGTGCATATCTTCCATTCCAACCCGGCCCCAGACACCCACCACAAAGGATTCGATCTCGCACTCATTGGTCCCTCTGGCAATGCGGAAGTAGCCGTGTTCACCCCATGCCTTTCCCCAGGAGTTGGCTGCAATCTGAAGACAGAGATAGAATAGGCTATGAAAGGGGTTTCCAATAGAAAAAGCATTGATGTTTGTCTAATATAGCAGTTGTACATTTGTATTCTTTTTAAAATGCTTACAACAACCCTGGAGCACAAGTCAATAGGTAACCATCGGTCAATAGCAAGAGCCAGTTTCATAACTAATAATCTGAATTAGTCTCTCCACTCATCATTCTTAGTGAAGCATGCAAACCAGAATCTGCATTTTCTGCATCGGGTGAGGAGAGCACATCTTTCTCCTTCTGTCCTGGCCACTTTCTACAGAGGCACAATTGAGAGCATTTTAACAAACTGCATCACTGTTTGGTTTGGTGGCAGCAGTGCCTCAGATAGAAAGTCCATACAGAGAGTGGTAAGGACAGCCGAGAAGATTCTGGGAAGCTCTCTTCCCATTATTCAGGATGCTGCTTATAAGTGCTATGTGTTTAGAGCTCAAATTATTGTCAGAGATTATCAGAGATCCCCATACACCTACTTCATGGTCTGCTTCTGTTGCTCCCCTCTGAAACCTTGAAAGAGGTTTCAAAGTATTTCTAGTAGGATTTCCAGATTCTGTAACAGCTTTGTTCCCTAGGCCATCCGTCTGGTAAATTCACAAGATTCGTTTTTCTCACAATGTACATGTAGACACCCAAACTACACTGTGTTGTTTCTCTGTGACATGTATACAGGCATACTTTTGTATTTATTTCTTTTGTCATGTTTACGTAGTGTATATTGCAGGTGGTGACCCTTTGAGAGCTGTATACAATGAAATTTCCTTTTAATGTACATTCAAAGTGACAATAAAGTTAGTCTAATTGTAGTGGTTAAGGAGGTAGGATCGAAAGCAGCAGTCTGTGAGTTCTAGGCCCACCTTAGCTATGGAGTTCAGTTGGGTGGCTTTGGGCCACTTCCTCCCTCTCAGCTCACCTCACCTCACAGGGCTGTTGTTGTGTGGAAAATCAGTGGAGAAAGATGTGTTGGATATGTTTGCCAACTTGAGTTATTTTTAAAAATAATAAAGGTGGGATGTAAATAAAATTAATCAATAAACTAGTGTAAGTTTGTAAGTTGTGATTGGGTTAGGTGACTGACCCAATTTTATGACCTTTTTTGCAGCGGTCATTAAGCAAACCAATGGTTTGCTATGAACTGGTTTTTGACAAAACTGTTGTAAAATGTGGTCACATGACCACGGGATACTACAAGCAGCCGTAAATGCAGGAGGGTTGCTGAGCACCCAAAATACGATCATATGATTGGGGGAGGGGGCAGACCCAGATGTTGGAACTTCAAAAAGAAGTCATAAATAGCCATAGGGAGGTCCATAGTATCTTTGAACAGTTGCTAAGAGACCAGTCATAAGTTGAAGATAAGGATATGTTCTGGTCACTAAAGGAATCCAGTTAGGATAATAGGCCAGATTTTTTTCAGAAGTGTAGTAATTTCCAGATGTCTGGCCCTCAACTCCCAGAATTATTTGCATTGTTTGTGCTGGCTGAGGATTCTGGGAGTTGAAGTCCATGTGGCTTAAATTTACTAAGATTTAGAAACACTGGTCTAGATGGAAACTTCTGGTTGACCTAGTTAAGTGAACTCAGCTAAAGCATGATATTGTCAACTAATTGACAGAAGGAATACATTTACTATCATCCTTGGTGGTGGCACTTACCCAATATTTCCTATTTGACCCATCCGGCTTCCGTTCTTCTCCCCATCTGTGATAAAACAAAACAAAGAGTTTGTTCAACGGGGAAAGAGGAAGTAGGCAATCTAATTTTCTCAAGGTGGATATTAGGATTTTTGAAAACTATACATGAAAATATGGGAAAGAAACTGGAATGAACATAGAATCAAAAAATTGAAAAGAAATGCAGACTCAATGGACAATATTGTCAATGCGCCACCATCACAGCTTCAAATTATAGCAGCTACATGGATTTTCTTCATGACAATCTGGTCTTTCGAATCTTCCAACATTGTACTCATCACCCCATAATAAAGTTCCATCCCTCTTGATGCCAATCATCAATTTTCTCCTCTTTCCTTCTACCTTTCCCAGAATGACTGACTTCTCCAGAGAGCTAGGACTTTTCACGTGATGGGTTCAAACAAGGAAAATTTGAGCCTGGAGACTTGAGCCTCAAGTGGGAATTCTGGAATAATTTATGATCATAGGCCCAACCATTTTACTGTATCCCCTTAAAATGTAATCATTTTCAGCAAGTTGAACCACATGTAAATTCTACTGATAAGCACAGGTAGTCCTTAGCTTAAGATGGGTGGTTAAGAAATAGGAAAAATAAGTAGATAAGTAAAATGATTGGTCACTTAGCAACCATTCAAAGTTCTGACAGATCTACTGGGGGGGGGGTATTTACGACCCAAATTTGAAGTTGCAATAGTCACACACACACACACACACACACACACACACACACACACACATCCCAGTCATGTGATTGCACTTCAGGTGCCTAATAACCGGACTGCATTTATGGCCATTTGCAGCGTCCCACGGTCCTGGGGTCACATTTTACAATTGTTTTGCTGAAAATCAACATTTACTTCCAGTTTTCGGCCAAACTCTGCCCATAGCGGATCTTCGCCTTTCACTTAACGAGTGCGGCCATTTGCTTAATAATCACAATGATTCACTTCATGACCAAAGGTTATTAAATTGGGTAGGTCACATGACTCACTGCTTTACAACTGCCAAGAGGTACAATTGTGATGGGCAGGCTCCATTACGGTTGTAACTCAAGGACTACCTGCAGCCCCCCTAAATAAATATGATTCCCACAGGTCGACTCCTACTCCACAATTCCCCTTGACTTCCTGCTGTGCAAGTGATCTTCTGAAAACCACAGCTGGTCAGGAAGCTCTGGAGAAAATGCACAATGCAGACACACACAGCTTATTTCTTCTCTTCAGAAATGAAGAGAAGCCGAAGCAAAGGCTTGGCGCTCAATCAAGGGATTTCCCATTTCATTTCTGGCGGATAAGCTTAAAGAAAGAGCCTGATTTTGCTTCAGCAATCAGCATGAGACAATAAAATTAAATGGAAAATACAGCACGGACTTTCTGGCTGGGGGCCACAGCTCGCCCTGTGCTTCAGTTTTTCCTTCACTCCAGCAGAAAGGAGAGTTGCATACCAGCATTTTTGATATTCTTCCTGAAATGAGTAACCAGGGCAACCCTGTGTTTACTGCAGCTCAGAAATCAGGATAAAATGAAGCACACAGGCTTCCTGAAGCTAAGGTTTCCTCAGAGCACTGCACTTCAAATATGACTGGGGAATTCTAGAAGTCCACCGTCTTCAAGTGGCCAAGTTTGGGAAACACTGCCCTAAACTCACCCAAGTAGCATGGTGGTACAAGAGGCTCAGTTCTCCAGATTAGAACATAGAATCATAGAGCTGGAAGCAATGGTGGGATTCAAAAATTTTTACCACGGGTTCTGTCGGTGTGGCTTGGTGGGCGTGGCAGGGGAAGGAGACTGTAAAATCTCCAGTCAGAGGTGGGATTTGCCGGTTCTCTGAACTACTCAAAATTTCCGTTACCGGTTCTCCAGAACTGGTCAGAACCTGCTGAATACCACCTCTGGCCGGGAGGGACCTCAGAGGTCTTCTATTCCAACCCCCTGTTCAGTCAATACCATCCTAGCCAAATGGTTCTCCAGTATAGTTTTGAAAACTCCAGTGATGGAGCACCCGCAATTCTGGGATGTAAGCTGTTGCACTGATGAATTGTTCTCCCTGTCAGGAAATGTCGTCTTACTTCAAAGTTGGGTCTCTCATTAACAAGCCTCCATCCATTACTTTTGTGCAAATGCTGAGTGTTTTCCAGGATGGCATTTGTGATCACCAATGTGAAGACAATGCAGCTCTGTTTGGGAAATTCAGGGAATTGAGGTCCACACGTCTTAAAGTTGCCAGGTCTGGTGGGGGGAAAAATCCTCTGTCTTACCGCTTTGCAGCTTTCCTGATCTGCTGCAATCCAGTTCAAATTCTCCCTCAATTCTTGCCCCAATGGTTCAGAAGCTGAGATGCAAAGATTGCCTTTAAAAGGCAAGTGTGGTTTCTGTTTGTGTGTGTTTGTGTGTGAGGAGAAGGCATCACACTGACTTGTGAGGAACCCACCTGCCAAGACCATACTCTTGGCAGAAATCCAGAAGGTTTAATCATCTGCATTTCACAGCACAAGAAATTCAAAAAATTTTCCACAACGCAGATAAAAACAGGCCAACTCTTTCATCCATGCCCAGCACCAAAACAGAGCTAATACCAGCTTTGGACCATCCTGCCCGCTTCATTTTCATGACCAAGTTTGATCTAGTTCTAGACAGAGAAATTCTCATTTGTGTGGTTTTCCTCCCCCCACATGCTCCTCAAAGAGCAATTTCTATCAATTAATAATATTTATTCAGAAAATGACCGGCCAAATTTAAAAGAACAAAACAAACAAAACCAGAGTGAAGCAAATAAATATAATAAATAAGCAGCTAGCAAAGACCAATTATATCCTGCTTTCATTGAGGCAATAGAACACTGAGCCTCTGCACACATAATCAATGGTTTTAGATGTTAAAGGAGAAAGTTCATCTAAAATTGATCTGGCCACCCAGGTTATTTATCTATTATGGGTACATGTCTCTGTAAAAGGTACAATGTTGTGATGTTGTAATATGTGTGACACGGTTTCAGCCTCCTTGTCATCACATGGGCTAATACGGGCAGTTACAGCGATTGTACTACACCTCTCTTGATGAAGTGCAGAGGGAAGAATGTTAAATCTAACTTTAAAGAATGTGATTCTCAGCTTAGGAAACTTCAGATTTAGCAAGTGATTTTCTGCTCCCCATGTTCCTCAATATAACCATGTTGATTGTATTGAGGGAGCCTATTGACTTCAATCTGAAATTCCACATCCCTTCTTTAAATAATTAATGGCTTGGCTTGATCGTAACCTAATGATTTTAAGGATGGTGGAGAAAGCCCATAGGAAGCCAGCTTATGCTCTACCGCCTGTTTCCAGGATGAGGTACAAATATGTTAGAACTAGAAGGGGTCAAATCAACTGGCAAAAATTGCATTTTTAACCCTTGAAGAAGAAACCTGCAAGCTTGGTGATAGCATTTGTTTCTTACAGGGACCAGCCAAATGCCTCTGGGGCCCTTACACCTATTTTCTGGTGATTGATGCTCTGCAAATATGATTTGGAGACTTCTGTCCCTGAACCAGAGGTAACTTTGGGTCTTCAAGAATGGTAGACTTTGAACTGGACCTGGTTGTCTTCTCTCTTAGCTTCTTCCTACAAGCTGGAAGAGTTGGCATGTTCTGAATGTTATCAATTATAGAGTGTCACCTGGTGGTATTCAAGAAGTGAGCCTTCTCTGCTGTAGGGCCTCCCCCTTGGAATGATATCTATCTTGCTCTTATTCAAATGAGCCCTTAAAACCTGCCTCTTTCCTCAAGCTTACATTAAGCCAGTTTGGCATAGTGGTAAAATAGTCCACAAACCAGAAGATGGTGAGTTCTAGTCTCATCTTAAATATGAAAGTTGGCTGGGTGATTATACCCAATCACCAAGAAAGGTGGACTTTGGACCACTCACCAAAATGATGGTGAGTTCTAGCCCCACCTTAGGTACAAAAATTAGCTGGAACACTTCAGGCTAATCACCAGGAGATGGTGAGTTCTAGTTCCCACTTAGTCAAGAAAGCCAGCTGAATTCTTTTGGCCAATCTCTCTCTCTCTGAGTCCAACCTATTTCACAGTGGGAAAAATAGGAGGAAGAAAGAATATTAGGTATATTTTCTGCATATATTTTTTTAAAAGATAAATAAATAGAGTAGATGGCAGATTTTTCCATGGCTGATTGTAACAATTTTGTATTATTTTTATATTTTCTGTATTCTATGGTTTTACATTCATATTGTATGCTGCCTAGACTCAGGATAGAGTTGAATTTAATGGTCTATGAATTTAATAAATACATAGTTAACTAACAAGCTAATTAACTAGCTAGTCTTTTTTTAAACCATCCAAGCGAATAGTAATCATCATTCCATCTTGGGGTGATACAGATAAAATAGTGCAAAGGTATTGCGAGGAAAGAACATAAATCTGAAGGATAAAAAAATGGATATTTGACTAGCAGTGTAAAAGCTGTCCAAAAAACTGTTTTTAAAAATCAGTCTGAAATCACCTGTTATCAATCCGCTATCTGTAAATGGCAGGTGCCAATGGCTGCAGGACTCTGCCTGGCATTTGTGTGGCTGACAGGAGCTATCTAAAATGAACAGGTTGAGATAAATTCACCACTGTGACTAGGAACAGAGGGGAGGGGGGCGTTGAAATAAGTGGCTTTCTTTTCAGCTGTCGTACAGAAGAGCCAATAGAGGAACACACCTTGCAGGTTAATGGTCTGCTGTGTGAGAGGAAGTCATTCATTTCACCTGTCTGAAATCTTTTGCTCAGCATTACCTATGTTTTTACTCCATGTCGTACATGACTTGATCCACTTCAATCTTCAGTTGACGTTTTACTAGGTGGAAGGATCCCAAACTTTCTAGCCTTTTCTTAATTGAAAATGTTCCAGTTGCCCTTTTCGAGGCTGTTATTATCCCTTTAGTCCTTCTTTCAACCAGAATGGTACATACAGCAGATTTGCAGAAGACAGTGGTGTCCTCAGACGATGAGTATAAAAGTAAAAAAATGTGGTTGTGATGGTATGGTTGAAAATCTGCCTGTTTTTTTTTATAGCTGCAATAGCACTTAGACTTATATACTGCTTCATAATACTCTGCAGCCATCTCTAAGCAATTTATAGAGTCAGCATATTGCCCCCCAAAATCTGGGTCCTCATTTTATTGACCTCAGAAAGATGGAAAGCTGAGTCAATCCTGAGTTGGTCAGAATCAAACTCCTGACAATGAGCAGAGTCAGCCGTCAATACTGCATTCTCACCACTGCACCTTCATGACTCTTTGTAAATGACACTAAGTGTGCATGAGAGAGTGTTTGCATTCTTGTTAGCACTATCACTTTGCAAAATTTCTGCCTGCTTTTGCAGTTGCATTACCTTTTGTTTCCTCAATGAAAATGGGGCAGTATAAAGTAATAGATCACTTAGGAATGACATCTGGAAATTTAACAACTGCTAAGTAATATACTATTATAGTGTATTAAAAATACCGATAGAGTTCAGAGTTCTGGCTGGTTCTGAAAGACTGGATTCGGGTAGACAGAGAGCAAAATAATGGATTTCTAACACATTTCCAGGGCCTATAAATAATGGGTAGGATGATGAATTTGAGCAAAATTCTGGAAGCCAGGTGTAAATAAAGCTATAAACCTCCAGAGAAGGCCCATAATTTCATACATGCAGGTAGTACTCAACTTACAATGGTAATAGAGCCTGGTCATGTGGCTGACCTGATTGTATGATTTTTTTGTAGTGGTCATTAAGCAAACACCATCATTGTTAATACTACGGTCATTAAGCAAACCCATTGTTGCTATGAGGCATTTGGGCTGAAAACTGGAAATAAATGCTGTTTTAAGCAAAAATATCATAAATCAAGTCAAGGACCAACTGTAGTTTTGAGTTTTCCTGACACTGTTGTGTACTGCTGGAACCACAGTGCCAAAACAAACACAACTTTGACATTTCTCATTAGACAAAGTATTCACTCACAAAGGGACACCTTGGATTTGGGTTTCTCATTGACTGCTAGTGATCTCACTCACCCAGTAATTTTGACAGAATGGGTACCATGTCGTCGGTACGGTTCTGGCTTCCCAGCTGCTACAGGAGTATGCTGATAAACCCCACTTCGATACACAAAGAAGTCTTCGTGCACTTCCATGATGGCTGCAGTGGAACGGAAAGGAAATTATGCATCTAGGCTCAAAAAGAATCTGACATGAACACTTTATTCTTCATAACTCAGATACCAATATTTCTGGTTTCACCCACAATACAAAAGTTAAGTCTAGAGCTGAGAAGAAATCTAGAAGAATTCTCCAACCAGTTTCTATACTTTTGGCACCAAAGAGGACTATGCCTAGGCCCACGACATGTGGAACTTTGTTGCTTACATAGAAGGTGGAACCAGGAAAGACCTTGTTATGGTCAAGAAACTTGGCCTGTTGGTGGCAGTTGTGCTCTCCTACCTTCCCCATCAAGCTACCCAAGCTTAATGACGCTTGACTAGACATAACATTTTGCACCCTTTGTTCATGCAGTTGTGGAAAGCTGAAGAGCAGAGTTTAGTCCTCTCAAGATGAACCACCAAAAAGCTCCTAAAGATCAGCACCTTATGGGGTATCTTCTATCCCAATTTCCAAGATGGCTGGTTTCCCCCAATTCAACTCATAAGAACCCAACCTCGGAAAGTTAAGGAAGCTCACTTAAGGAAGTGGGATGAAGCGGGGAGGCAGGAGGGTCACAGGAGCACTGTGGACTGTTCCAACCAAAAAAGCATTAAAATAGCATGCAAGGAACAGTTTTGGGCATCCAGCAGGTTTGAAAGTTTGTTTCCTCAGTTTACTTCTGAGTTGCCATAATGCCCGTGTATTTAACCCCAAGAGTTTTTGGAAGCAAATCTGAGCTGTTTCCTGATTCATTATTGGCCTGGATTACTAAGACTGCAAATTAGTGTCCAGAGAGAGTGTTGCTGATTTTCCTTTTCCTGGTGACCTCCTGGGCAAGTCCAGGCAGGTTTTGTTAATAACATTATGGAAAACTTTTCTTATTACTTTCTTCCGGGAGTTTTTGTTCTTTTGGCTTCCCTGGTATTTCCTTGGTAGATAGCCCTGGTATTTTCCATTTCCCACTGAAATGATAACTAGTTAAATCCTGGTTAATTCTGAGCCCAACCAAACTTTGCTAGGCACCACCACTTTCTTGCCCAGCCTGCTTAAAACTGGTGTGGAAGAAGCTTTGCGGGTCAAAGACAAACAAAACAACTCACTTCAGACTGACTGAATTTACCCTCTTTCTAGATTGGCGGAAGGCACCAGATCATTTAATCCTTGGAAAGGCTATGTTCACACAAGTTGCTAAACTGGATCAAGCTAACCAAGTTGAAAGCTGTCCACACTTGAATGAAATTGCTAGATTAAATAATCTGGTTAAATGTGGACAAGGCAACACTCTCAGTTCCTGCCAGTTTTTGTAATAATTGTGCTGTGAAAACTATAGTGGGAACTTTGCTCTCCTTATGGCTTCCAGCAAAGTCACGTTTGACTTTTTGGCCAAAATAGTTTATTCCTTCATTTCGGAAAGAACATTTACATTCCTACAACCAGATAGGTGAAAGGTTTGTCATTGAATGAATTATGAGAAGCATCCTTGTATTTTAACTTGCTATATGAACCAGAGCCTCATGTTAAGTAGCCATGTGATTCATTTTCTTTGGTCCCTGCATATTCTGTGAACACAGCTATTGTTCACAATCCAACAACACTGCCTTTGTTCACCCAGGTTCAGGCTTCAGCATGCTGTGGGAATCCAATGGTAGTCAATTTTCTGTAGCTAAGAATGGCTCCTTTTTAAAAAAAAAAACAGATTTCCTTTGACTCCTTCCTTTATTTTATATTATGTTCTCTTTTTGGTTTTCTGTTGTAGACCAATTCAAGGATATTTCCTTTTTCCTTCTGGAAAACAGAAAAGTGGTTTGTTGCTTCCTAAGCAGCTTAAGATTTGAGAGATCATTGTGCAAAGAGCTAGCTGCAAACTTCTCCGTTAAAAGTGAGCATAACTTCACCAAATCATAAGCAGGCTGTTACAAAGAAAATTAGAACATCTGTATGGGAATAAATAGGTTAAATACAAAAAAATATATTGCTGGAATTAGCTTTCTTAGATTCTTTCCATGCCTAATTCTCACGGAGTTCTCTTTAGCAAGATTTATTGAGATGAAGTCAATAGGCTACAAGAATTCCAGCAACTGGACTATTTCCAATTTAAACCATTACATCCCTGTGAACATTAGGGCAGAGACCTTCTGATTCTCTTTCTGGCAGCCTTACTACAATCTCGTGAGTGAGATGGTCTGCTCGCTGCCACTGGAGGAGCTTGCAACTGGTTATTTACATAGCAATCGCTTGATTCTTAGTAGTCTTGAAATAAATCATTTCAACAAAAAGCAGACATTGGATACTATTAAAGGAGGCAACTCAGCCACCACTTTCCAATACAAATCATTTCTCCTTTGTGTGATTTTCCACCCTGATGTATATTTCTGAGAGCCCACCTCACCTTGCACAGGTCCATTTTCCATTAACTCCTTCATGATCTCCTTCTCCTGCAAACAAATGACCGATGTTAGATCAACAGAGAATCAAAAGCAATTATTCATTTCTCATGGTTTCTCCCTAGATGGAGAGTTTATGTTTTGATCAACCTTGGTGCTTCCGAGTATTCATCATCAATCACCAGCCCTTATGGTTAGAGTCAGAGGATTGATGTGTTCTATTACACTGCACATTTAGGGACCGCCTGGTTAATCTGAAAATCTATATATAATCATGCTGATATTACTTAATAATGGAGACTACCAAGGACTCCCTTAACATTCTTCACTTTTCTCCCAAGAATTTCAACACATATTTTCAGAGGTGCAAAAAGTTAGCTCAGGGGCAGGTTCAGTTTCAGAGTTCCTTGCCTTGTTGGGCTTAAAGTAGCTCATTATCCTACCCAAATAGAGCCTGGTGCATCCAGTTTTGACAGACTGTACGAAAATGGGCAACCATATTCTCCCAGTTTTAGTAGATTAAGCCACTGACTACAGGTAATCCTCCATATGACCATAAGAACAGGGGTGGGTGCAGTGGTTAGAATGCAGTACTGCAGGCTATTTCTGTTGACTGCCAGATGCCAGCAGCTCGCAGTTCAATTCTGACCAGCTCAAGGTTGACTCAGCCTTCCATCCGTCTGAGGTCGCTAAAATGAAGACCTAGATTGTTGGGAGCAATAGGCTGACTCTATAAACTGCTTAGAGAGGGCTGAAAAGCACTGTGGAGTCTAACTGCTATTGCTAAATGCTATATGCTAAATCCAATTTTAACATCTTTTTTGAAGCAGTCGTTAAGCAAACAAACACCATGTTTGTAAAGCAACTATTGCAATTGTTAAGCAACTATTTTGGTTGTTAAGTGAACCAATCATTCACAATGGGCCAGTTTTGCTAAAACCCAGAAATAAATACTGTTGTTTTGGCAAAGTTTTAATTAGAGATGTTGTTTTATTGTCCTGTTAATTTTTTTCCTTCCCCAATAGTAAATTGTTGTAAACTAGTTCACTTTTTTATTATACCCTTTTTATTGTAAAGATTGGTCAAACACTGTAATAAAGAAATTTGATTTGCTGACCATTGCTCCACTTAAATGGAATAGCAATGTCTGCTCTTATTTCCATTCCCCATAGATCTTGATCCTCCTCACAAATTTTACCAGCATGGTAATAAGAAGAAAAGGCAGGACTTACATTTGAGGAGAGACGATATGCAGGTGTGGATTGGTAGATCTCATTGGAGTCCGTTTGTGAGCTGGGGCAGCGTGCTGTGGCTTGTCTCTTTCCCCTGCCAGTGGATCGGGTGTGCATCATGCAAGGTGGACTGGCAAGGGAGCTTTCCTTTTCTTCACTGGTGAAGGGGTAGCATTCATCGGTCACCACCCTAGAAGACGCAAGGGAGAAAAGAGAATGGTTTGGAGGTGTCTTGGAACTCAGGACTCATGCCCAGGCTCACTTCCAAAAATCAAACTCTTCTCGAGCTAGCTTAACAGTGCTTGAAGATGGTGGTGATAAGTAGCAACTTAGAGAAATGTGATCCAGACTGTTGACTAACATAAAGCCATTGAACCATAGAATCATATGCTGTCCACCCTCTACTCCATGTTCTCTAAACACCTTTCTCCTGAACTTCTGCAGGAAACCAAGGATTGTCATACGAATACAGAATAACAGAGTTGAAACAAACATTACAGGTCTTCTAGTCCAATCCCCTGCCCAAGAAGACCTCACACCATCCTGGACAAATGACTGTCCAATCTTTTTTTGAAGACCTCCAGCATCCAAAACTCTGGGAGTTAAGCTTTCCATTCAGGGGTGAAATTCAACCATCTTGCACCACCTCAGGAGAGATGGTAGGGACAATTTGAATCAGTTGGCCCTGCCCACACCCACCCTCCTTCCTTTTAGAGACTGAGTCCCACCAAGTGATGCCCACAGAGCTGGTAGGGAAAAAAATGAATTTCACCCATTTCCATTGATTAATTGTTGTCACTGTCAGAAAAGTTCTCCTTGGTTCCAGTTATAGTCTAGTCAAATATCATAGTAGGTTGTACTCTTGGAAATGAATGTCCCTTTCATTATTCCCATATTGTCCCAAAAAAGACCATCAGCCACCCACCCCCTCCTGCGCAGGAACCACCAGGCTCCATCCACACGGCCTCCATTGCAGCCTTGTTGGTGGCGAGTGTTGCAAGACAGCAGATTCTGGGGGGACAAGGCAGGTGTCATGTGTCCCATGGAATGGATCGAGATCCGGTCAGAAGCCACCGCTGGAGAGAAAAAAGAAACTTGTGGTTAGAAACCTGTTACGTTTCTTGCATCCAACTTTCCAGTTACAGATCCAGAATTGAAGAACAGGAAAAGGGAAACTGAGGGCCAGTGAAGAGAGGGACAAGTGCAATCCCATAAGCATGAGAAAATGGAATCAGATTGTGCTTGAGAAGGCTGATGCAAAATATATCCATATGTATCAGTGGAGAAAAACCTTACCCTACTTATCCTGGACAGTCATTTATCCCAATGGTATAAGGACTGCTATCTTGGACAGGGGTTGGGCTAGAAGACCTCTAAGATCCCTTCTAGTCCTAGGATTCTAGGATTCTATGCTCTGACTGTCACATATGCATCCAGGGGTTTCTACCTGCTGTGGAAAAGGCCCATGATCCTGCACAGTTGCCTTGATCAAGAGGCTCATGGATCATCCCAGACCACTTTTCGGCAGCATTGAAATGGGACGGGAGTACTTCGTTGGTGCCCATGTTGATCTGCAGAAAACAGAGGAAAGCAGAAAGAGAACGAAACCTTCAATAAACAGAACAATTTTCCCAGGAGTCATAGGAAAAGTGGGATTGGGGGAGCAGGGCTATGAACATTCTGAGATCCCAACCAGATCCCCTGAAGCAGGAACTGCTATTCCATAAACCTTCCCACAAAATGGTTGTTGTCCTTTATGCAACTTGGAATGGGGACACTCAACCTTTGTTGACAACAGCATGAACAGCAGTGGTACAAGGAAGGTAAAAAGTTTAAGATGAGCAGCCACAACAGTATAATTGGAGCTCCACTTTTTTTAGATACGTTGTGAGAGACACATAAAAAAAGAGGTTGAACTTATATTGTAATGTCAAATGTACAATTTTTCTATTTTGAACCCTACCCCGCAGAGTATCCACTCCAATGTTTATCAACGTGGCAACTATAAGCTGTGTAGACTTCAACTCCCAGAATTCCATTATGTTGACCTCTGGCATTTGATACAGATCAAGAGAGCAAGAGAAAATGATATTATTGGTTGAATAAATTGGTATTTCTAGGCAATTTTAAGCTGTGTGGACGAATCAGCTCCCAAAATTCCCCCCAACCTGTTGAAGTCACCCAGCTTAAAATTACCAAGGTTGAGAAATACCAATCTATTCAACCAACAGTATCATTTTCTCCTATCCATTTCTCAAAGCAACAATGATTTTCAGAATAGATTTAGGATTTAGCAGGAACTTGAGCAAGTTTTGCAATCTTTTTATTGGTGAAAATGCAGGCTGCAGGAGGACAAGCAGCTGAGCCTACACACATTTCCATACCCCTAGGCAGCAGCAGGGGTAGTTGCAGATCTCCAAGGCTGTAACTTACAAAACATCTCAATGTTCAAAGCATTTTTCTCTTTCATGGGACAGATTCCAAAACATGATATTTTTGTTCTAGACCTTCTTGCCACTCCTGTTATTGATTCAAGAGATTACGACCAGCATTCCAAGTATTGTAGAGATGCCAAAGCTGGCGGGTGTGTATGCGTGTGTGTTCCCTTCAATTTGTATGGTGCAACAGTCTGGCCATTCTACTGTGTCAAATGCCAGAAATCAACATAATGGAACAACACACTTTCTAGTCCTTGGATATCACTGCTACAAACCTAGTGTGAAATATTTACTATATTCTGCCTAGATTCGACTTTTCCTCCAAGGATTTTAAAACACTGAAGAGCTATCTTGGTACAACACAGCAAACTGAACCTGGATTTACTGAATGGACCCAGTTCCTTCAATTCCCACAATGACCACAGCCATAAAGCATTTTCGCCTAAAATGCTGTGTGAATCAACCACTGTCAATCTCCTCTCCTTCTTTATTCAGGTAATTTCAAGACCGGTCCTAATATTTCCACACAATTCATTTACCAAGATTATTTAGCTAACCCAGTTTTTGGACTAACATACTACACTGAATCTTTATACAGCCAATATCAAAGCAAAGCTATACTGCACTCATAGGCCTTGTAAACCATATCAACCGATCTCAAAGACACAACATGTAGACTAAGTTTGCGGCTTGGTGCTCATAACACAGAGGATCTAATTATGAATTCACCCATTTTCAGGATTTGTGTAATACCCTAAACCACAAACTAATCAAACGAACACCCATCTACTCTCCCTTCCAAAAACTGTAAAGTTTAAAAGAACCAATCTTAATGGGTTGTGTGAATGAAACTACTAGCTCTTCAAAAAGTATGCTGTGTAAACACATCATCCCAGTCTACATGAAGGTTACAGCTGTAGGGATGAAAGTAGAGGATGAAAACTATGCACCCCTGGTGAAGTTCCTGCCAGAAAAGCAGAATAAATCTAACAAATAAATGAGGAAACCACTTACATGAAGCTCATTCATATTCATGACAGATGTGGGAGGCTTGATGGTGCCAAGACGGTACCGAATGCCCTCCTCCAGTGTCATCCCCCAGAACTGGCTGTAGTTCGAAGCTCTCCAGCTGAAGAAAGACAGAAGACAATCTGCTAAAAGGACAATGCTTAGCTTTGCCAAGGAAGAATACTCAGAATGAGCCATGGTAACATTTCCGTCTTAGGTTGTAACATCTGGATCCGTTGTAGGATGAATTTAGTTTCCTCTTTCCTGGTTGCTAATTAGCTCAGAATGAAAAGCAAAAGTCCGTCTCTCTTCCTGGAGGCTGAACTAGTGAATGGGTTAAGCATCTAAGGCAGGGGTCCCCAACCTCTGGACCGTGGCTCACTAGTGGGCTGTGTGTGAGATATTTGCAACTGGGTCGCAGAAATGGTGGGAGAGAGCACACACACATGCATGTGCATCCTCACTGGCATGAGCAGTGGGCAAGCACATGAAAGCCTGCACACTCCATTTGCATGAGTGGCAGGTGCAGGTATGTACTGCTCATGCAAACGGAGCTGCCCATGCGCATGTCTGCTCACACGGAACCATCCCATCCCCACCCCCGCACCCTCGTCAGTCCACAAAGCTGGAAAGGTGGGGAAATTGGATCCAAGGCAGCTGGTTTATTCCAACTGGTTCAGAAAACATGAGTCTTAATTCCCAGCGATGGTTTTATAGATGCCCACAGTTTTTATTTTGAATTGAACTACTAACGCATCTGAATGAGACCCAACTTCTTCAATTCAGCCCAGGCTTCATCAATTCAAAGAGTAGAATTTTTGTTCTTACCCATAATTCCCTCTGTTGATGGCATCGATCATGTCCCCATTGATAAGACAGACATGGTTTTCACACTCCCATTTGCCATGCCCATTGCAAGTACTGTGGAGAAAAGGCACAGAAAGGATCAATAAGGACTCAGAGGAGACTGACTTAATCACAAATCCAAATCTGAGACCTGCAATGTTAGGTAATCCTCAATTTATGACCAAAATTGAGACCAGAATTACAATTGCTAAGCAAGGCAGCTGTTAAATCAGTCACATTCATTTTATAATCTTTTCTGATACATTCATAAGTAAATCACTACTGTTATTAAATGAATAATCTGTTGTTAAGCAAATCTGACTTTCCCCCATTGGCTTTGCTTGTCAGGAGCGGCTGGGAAGCTTGCAAATGATGATCACATGATGCTGCAACCATCATAAATACATGCCAGTTGCCAAGCGCCTGAATTTTGATCACACGACTGGGTGGAATGCTACCATGAGTGTAAGTGCAAGGACCAGTCGTAAGTCACTTTTTCGGTGCCATTGTAATTTCAGTCGCTAAATAAATGGTTGTAAATCGAGGGTTATCTGCATATCTAGGTGACATGATTTCGACTTGTTGGTTTGGAAATATCAAATAAGGCAATGCCTGGTGTTTCAAGTAAGAGAACAGAGAAGATAGGAGAACAGAGCAGCAGAACAAGATGGGGGAAATCTCAAAGAGCAGTGAAAGGAAAGGAAAGGAAAGGAAAGGAAAGGAAAGGAAAGGAAAGGAGAGGAGAGGAGAGGAGAGGAGAAGAGAGGAGAGGAGAGGAGAGGAGAGGAGAGGAAAGGAAAGGAAAGGAAAGGAAAGGAAAGGAAAGAAAGGAAAGGAAAGGAAAGGAAAGGAAAGGAAAGGAAAGGAAAGGAAAGGAAAGGAAAGGAAAGGAAAGGAAAGGAAGAAAGAAAGAAGGGAAGGGAAGGAAAGGAAAGGAAAGGAAAGGAAAAGAAAGGAAAGGAAGAAAGGAAAGAAGGGAAGGAAAGGAAAGGAAAGGGAAGGGAAGGGAAGGGAAGGGAAGGAAAGGGAAGGGAAGGGAAGGAAAGGGAAAGGAAGGAAAGGGAAAAGAAAGGTGGGCAGTGAGGCAGGACTGATCAAGAGATAGCAAAGAGTTTGTGCCAAACAACATGTTATACAGAACAGATTTTCACTTGACTTTTTCCATTGGTTGCTTTCACACTCTCAATCTGATTATAGGATTAACCCATTCTCTGGCTTTGCACATACTATATTGAGAAGGAAGATGATTGGGGTAAAAACCTCTTTATCGTAATTGGACTGAACTGTTCAAGATTAAAACCAAACAAACAAAGTTAGCATATTGTGCCAAGCAGCTGCATGGGTTAGCACCAACCTCCTTAAGGGGTTGAGTGAAACATACCACAAAAAAGGTGGAAAAGAAGCAGCTTTTGGACTACCTAAGCAAGTGTTCCTCAAACACAACAACCTTAAGACAAGTGGACCTCAATTCCCAGAATTCCCCAGCCAGCATGCTGAGAAACATTGATTTAAACCTATAATACAAAAATAACAGCTCAGGGACCAAGTGTGATCTGGCACGTATCCAGAATGCCTCAACATTCCTAGACTTCGGAGATTCCTGCACTGTTTAGTGAAGTTATATTATTTAGAGATCGAATAATCTCCTGCTATTTGTTTCCAGGAAACGGAACCCAGAAGCATAAAGGAAGTGTGAGAAGTGTGAGGAGGGCTCAGCAAGAATGAGTTATGTGTGACTTTGGGTAGAGGACACAAACTTTTAAAAATAAATGGATATTTTTTAAATAGCCCTTTCCACTTGGATCTCAGCTCCATCAACTTTTCAAGGGCAGACCTTGACTTGCTGCGCAAGAGATAAAGCCCTAATCATGGAATTGCCCTAAAAAACTCGTGTGTGTGTTTGTTTCTTGAGTGACTCTTTCCGAGTGCTCAGCTGGCAAGCATACTGCAGAAAAGCTGCTGGGTCAAGAACGGGAGTGCAAAGGTTTGACAGCGGGAGAAGTAAACGGTGTTAAGCAGGAAGACTGTATTCTGCTTGCAGCGGCTGCTGTTGCTTTTCAGGCCAATGTTCTGGGTCAGACATGCACAAGGACACACACACAAGCTGCAACATTCTTCTTTACTCCTGTGCATTTGATGTAAGTTACTAAAAAAGGGGAAAAATGACATCAGTCCTTTCCTGCCCATCAATAATCTCTTGAGAGAAGTGGAGATGGGGCAGCCCTCCTTCCCACTCCTCCTTTATGTGTTGCCCATTCAAAGTCTCCTTCAAGTCAAGTACAATTCCTGGTGACATCATGAATGGAGTGAGGTGGTTTTCTTGGCAACCACCCAGAATAGGTTGGCCATGGCTTTCTCCCAAGAAGAGTTTTGACTCCCAACTTGCAGCCTTAACAATCCTTGAAAAGCTTCCATTCACCTTCTTCCTGGGTCTTTCAACCCTCTTGATTTTTAGAGATCCACCAAGCTCAACTAATTGGGCATATGCATTAGACCTTAGACAGCACAGTGGGATCTAGTCAATTTCACAATTCTTTCATCATAGCCAAGTTAAAATCACCATGCTTGGTGTTCCCATGTGATGCTTTGGTGTACTTTCTCCTAGTAGCAGGAGTAAACTCAGTAGTTACATTCTCTATTTATTTGTATCCCGCCTTTATTATTTTGATAAATAACTCAGGGTGGTTCACATACCTAACAGTCTTTCCTCCTCCTATCTTGCTCACAACAACCCTGTGACACGAGTTGTGCTGAGAAAGAGTGACTGACTCAACTGGCTTTCATGCCTAAGGCGGGACTAGAATTCACAACTTCTTGGTGATTGGCCCAAAGTTATCCTACCAGCTTTCATGCCTAAGGCAGGACTAGAACTCATGGTCTCCTGGTTTCCAGCTTGCCGCCTTCACGCTAGACCAAATTAGCTCTCTTGGTAAAAGTACTGAGTGAACATGGATTAGAAGCTTCAAAAGTCTGAATGAATATTAGCAGCCAGGGAGCTAAGTGGAATTTTTTTTGGAGGGGGGAAATAACTTTTAACTGTCAGACTGATTGCACCATCAAGGCTGTCTATTAACATTCTGGAAAAACAGCTTTCCTGTAATTTCACTTCATTAAATCTAGTTCTCCTTACTTAACTTTATTATGGGTCACAGACAAGGAGTACATAAAAATGCAATATATAATAAACAATACAGCATGCACAACAGAAGGCTGGTAGTTATGTTTAGTCTGCTGTCAATAACATACAAATTCTACAGGCTGCAAATATAAACTGTGCAAACGAAGAGAGAACTTTGGATATTTTTTTTCACTCCCAAAGAAGCTGCATTTAGACTTTTTCTCTCCAGCCTGGAAATTGGCTAATTCTTCTGCATGAGAAGCAACGAAAAAATCCTTGCTAACTCCTGTAATTGAATGAGGCAGGATATCTCCTCTCTCACCAAACTTTCCATTTTTAGCCATAACCCCAACCTTTGTAGATTGCTAGGAACCTGTTTCAATTTATTTAAAGTCTTAGTAATTCATTCAGAACTAGGCACTTGAGTGCCTAATTAGGAACCTGAGGGTCAGTTTGCTATAATGGTTAAGGCATCAGGCTAAAAACTGGGATAATAGGAATTCTCGTCTTGTCTTGGGCATAAAGCCAGCTGGGTGACCTTGGGCCAGTCCCTCCCTCTTGGCCCTAGGAAGAAGGCAATGGCAAGCCACTTCCAAAACCTTGCCAAGAAAACTGCAGGGATTTGTCCAGGTAGTTGTCAGGACTCAACATGGACTCAAAGACACAAAAAAACCATCCCACAACAAAGTGGGTTTAGCAGCTGTGTGAACCCAACTAGAGACAACAGTAGCTTCGCTCCCCAAGAAATCCATATTATATTTATGGATGAACTAGTTTTGAAGGCTCATTAAGCTTAGTTTGGACTTACACAATTAAACCTAGTAGAGAAAGATATTAGCTGGGGAGTAGAACTGGAAAAGAGAGCCAGTTTAGTCTAGTGGTTAAGGCACCAGAATAGAAACCAGGAGACTGTGAGTTGTAGTTCTGCCTTAGCCATGAAAGCCAGCTGGGTGACCTCTGTCCCACTCTCTCACCCTAGGAAGAAGGCAATGGCAAACTACTTCCAAAACCTTGCCAAGAAAACTGCAGGGATCTGTACACGCACGCACACACACATGCACACACACACGCACACACGTGCACTTGGTCACTAGTTTTCAAAAGCTGAAGTTATCAAGAAGATAAGAAAAGTCTTGCTGAAGGAAACTAAGGTATTTACTTAGAAGTTTTGCTCCTCTGGCAACCAGATGCCTGTTGAGGATGGTAATATTGAGGAAAGCTGCCCCCAACCCAGAAATATCACTGAAACTTTAAAGTTTGTAATGGGCCTTTGCCTCCATGAATTTAGCCCTGCCCTTTTTAAAGCCATCCAGGTTAATGGCCATCCAGGTTGTGCAGTAATGAGAGGTCCTTGATGCCTCTGTGGTTGGTTGTTTTCTTACTGACATTTCATTACCCAACAATCATCAGTGCTACCGGTAGCAGTGTTAGTTTGGGTAATGAAATGTCTGCAACGAAACATACAAGGCTCAGAAAGCATCAAGGACCTCTCATTTCAAGCTACACATATTCTCCTTTACTGGTGCAGAAATGGATTTTACACAATAATGGCATGGAAATTCTAACATGATATAAATATCATCCCCTACATCTGCCTTCCTTTGAATGACGCTGTCCAAATTTGGCTCCACTGGCTGGCTGGGAAAGGGAGTCATGGTCCAACACATCTGGCAGGGCCCAGGTTGGGGATGACAGCTGTGCAGGCTGCATCTGGGGGTTGGAGCTGCATTTAAGCAGCCACCTTGGCTGAGTGCAATACAACCCTCCCTTTCATAGAAGATTAAGAAACACCGATTAAGAACCTTTTGCCTCTTTGACTGAGAGCTACAAGCAGTATTAGTTACCCTTCATGCAATGCTTGGCATTTTTATTTGGTCCAAAAATCCAACCCACCCTCCCACCCCCCTTCTTCCCTCCCCGCAACCCTCCCGGGACAGCAAACATTTCTCCTTTTATGGACTGGGTTAGCAAAAGCAGCTCATAGGTTTCTGAGTGATGGTGCTGAGAGAGGCCGGTTTCTGGAAGCATCCCAAGGTGGGAAGTCCTTCAAGAAAAGGCCAGCTGGAAATCAGACTTTCTGAAGGTGCTTCTGAGGTCAAGAGAGGCCCAGCTTGGCCAGTTGGTGGCTACACTTCTGGTTTTCAGATTAGAACTCTCCTGATTCGATACCTGCTTCTAAGAACAAGCTCAGATTCATTAGACAGGAAATTCTCTCCCGTCATTTTGGGAGAATAATCCCACCTTTTCTGAAGTGATTGTTCAGAAAATATGATTGTTGTTTCCATTTCATCCATTTAGCCTGTGGCTGTATTCACACAACCCTCTGAACTGGGGCAGTGAACAATCTAGCTGTGATTCAATTTCTGAAACCTAGTTAGTTTTCACTTGGATTTTTTTTTTTTAATACAGCTGAGTGGTGGTGTGAACCCAGGCTGTTCCTTAGCTTAGGGTTGACTTCAGTATCTTGGCTAAACCCAGAAGTAGTATATAAAATCATTCATACATTGCAATGTCCTACCTGTCAATGAATACTTCAGCTTCAACCATAACAATACAAGAGCACACAACAGATACAAACTCAAGGTAAACCGCACCAAACTTGATTGCAGGAAATACAACTTCAGCAACAGAGTGTTCAATGTTTGGAATACTCTACCTGACTCTGGTTTCTTCCCCAAACCCCAAAAACTTTAACCTTAGACTATCTACTATTGACCTCACCCCTTTCCTAAGAGGTCTGTAGGGGGCGTGCATAAACGCACCAACATGCCTACTGTCCCTGTCTATTGTTTCCTTTTATTTTCTTATATGTATCCATTTCATGTATTCATAACTATGTTTATACTTAGACCTATTATCTTGTAAGCGATTGACAAATTAAATAAATAAACAAACAAATAAAATAAACTGTATTGAGCAAGTTGTATGAAGGCAGTGGGTGGGAATAAGAAGGATGGCAGGGGAAACTCCAGTTTCAAGTCTGACATGCCCAGTTCTGTTCAGTCTATCTGTATAGCTCAAAGTAGTCAGGAGCCCCAGGCACTTGCAAATGCACATAATTCAAATTCCTCTCCGTTCCAAAGTTTCTCCCCTTTGCCCCCAACCATAAACAGGCCCACAAGCCCTAGCTGGAAGAGTGCCCCACCCTACCCCTTTAAGGCAGCCCTTGGCCTCTTGGCCTTCATTCCTTTTATAGGACTTCTGAGCTCGTTTTGGAGGGAGAAGGCAGTGGGAACAAGGGTGGGGTGAGAGATGGAGAAACAGGAGAATGGAAAGAATGGAAAAGAAGATGAGGAGATGTGCCTTGCTTTCATTTTGTCTTTTTTAATACTGTGGAACTACAATCCCTAGAATCCCAACTCTTAAGCATTGGCAGGGAATTCTCAGAGGGCAACTTCCAGATCTATTCTGTAGATATCGGAAATTTTGCAGCTCTTCAAACTTATGGGCATCACATTGATTTAGGGGGGACTGGCCCTTCTACACACAGTACTGTCCAAGTGCACTGAGTTACAGCTCCCACTATTCTTCAGCCAGCAGAGTCGCTGAGTGGGTGTTGTAGTCCAATACCTCTAGAAGGGATTCATATTAGAAAAGGCTGCTTTGGACTGCACATTGACTCATTAACCCACAACAAGCCCAAGGTTAGAATGTGGTTTCCCTGAACAGATGTGTTGAGAAAAGTCTTCGTAAGACAAACGGGGTTTGTTGCAACTCCTCAACCCCCTATTTCACTGGCAGGTGGGAAGCTACCATGTTAAATTTCCCAGAGCATTCAGTATTGCATAACTCTGAGGCATGATAGGAGGGAATATTTAAATCATTTAAACATTTAATTTAAACAATTAAAATGGGAATATTTAAATCAGAGGTGCCCAACCTTGGCGACTTTAAGACGTGTGGACTTCAGCTCCCAGAATTCTATACTGGCTGCGGAATTCTGGGAGTAGAAGTCCACAAGTTTTAAAGTTGCCAAGTTTGGACACCTCTGGTTTAAATGCTGACTTTCTAACCATTTTGGCACTTTCTCTGACCAGCCAGCAACCTGGGGAACCTCAATCACCCCCATAGCTTTCCCTGATCCAGAGTGTTAGAACTTTTAACAATAAGGAGTCTCTTTCTATTTTTCCAAGGAACTGCTGAAGAATTTCTCCTAGTGTATTGTGGGATTCTTTTTCTGGCTCTTGTGGGAATACAGACAGTCCTTGACTTAGTAACATTAGTTTAACAACCATCCCAAATTACAATAGCATTGGAAAGAGTGACTTACAACCAGTCCTAATGCTTACAATCATCATCGTGTCCCTGCAATTACTGATAAAAATTCAGCACTTGGCAACCAGTTTGTATTCACAACACAGGCAGCATCCTGTCTGACAGAGCAAAACTGAGAGAAGAAACAGACTGAGATCCCAAAACCCAAGACTTACCAGAGGTTGCAGTTATCATGGTAAGTTGCTCCAGCATGGAACTTGACACCATTGCGAATGCAGCCTGGGGTGGAAAAAGATGCCAGAACGAAGAGGGTTATTCTACAGAGCTCTATATATTTTAAGATGGCTCAGCATTTAGACCAAGACTGTCCAACCTTGGCAACTTTAAGACTTGTGGACTTCAAGTCCCAGAATCCCCCAGCCAGCTAGGGTATTCTGGGAGTTGAAGTCCACAAGTCTTAAAGTTGTCACAGCTGGACGCTCTGATTTAGATTAAATTTTTGAAGTAGCAGCAAAGACCTTGTTCTGTTCTTATCCAAAATCATGGGTACGTCCAAAGAGGGAAAGTCCATGGCATCACATGGAACATGTAATGGCACAAATGGCATGAATTATGTTGTTGACATCAGCTGCAAGGCCAATTACATCATCCAGATGACTTTTGCAACGGCATCACAATGCAAGTGAGGCCGCCACAGTTTGTCCTGAATGCCTAGGATACAATGGCTTGCAAAAAATTTGGCTTATGACATGACCTTTCACTTGGGGGAAGTCGAAGTTGGAGGCTTTCTCCTCCTGCACCTGGAATGCTCTATTCCTTAGAACAGTATTTGCACAGGTGGTAGCCTCCAGACCCTCTTTGGGCTATCACTTCCAGGATTCCCAGCAACAGGCCCTGGACATTCCAGAGGTTGCAATCCCCCACATCTGGATTGGAAAATTCAGATTGGGAAAGCTTGCAGAAGAGGTGAAAGTTGAGATAAAGCAGCACCCAAACTTTTAGAATTACAACCCCATGAAGTTTGAATTTTTAAGAATATGGTACAGGAGAGAGAGAAGAAGGAAGAGAGAGCTGAGGTTGACAAGACTGCGCTCCACTTGCTGTTTTGAGGAATGCAAAAAGAAAGGTGCAATTACTTTTACTGCACTATTTAGTTGATTAATCAAATTTATATGGCCACCGTCTCATGGAAAGTGATTCTGGGCAGTGAATAACATTATTACACTGTACTTTGCTTGTATATTTTTTCAATAAATCAGATGCTACAAACACAGTAACACCATCCATGGCCATGTTTTGTTGTTCTATTTGCAGGCAGTTAAAGGATTGTTGTGTTTTTACACGTGCAAGAGAACACAATGCATTCACAAATATGCACCCTGGAGTGGTTCTCTCCCACTCCCTTTTTCATCTGAACAATTACTTATAGTTTCAGGACCCCACTTCCTTATAAATATACATGGATTAGACAAATGCCTGGCTTTTAACCTCTCCAAAGCACAGTGGAAGCTTGTAAAAATAAAACTGTATTTAAACCCCCACCATTATTCAACAAGGTTAGGTGGAAATGGATCCAAGGAGGCCAAAGTTTGATTTTAATCCAAGACTTCTGCCCAGAAAAGATTTTGAAGGTTAAACTTCAGGTCTTGAAAAGGTAAAGGGTTGTGTTGAGCCTTCGGCTCATCGAAAAGGACATCTTTCAATCAGAGAATGTTTAAATCCAATTTAATTTTAAAATTCCTAACTTTGGGGAAATATTTTACTACAGCTCTTAGAAGAGGCAGTGCAGACTAGACAGGCATTTCCTTACCTGCAGGATTTCCTTGCCTAATAACTTATTATGGTTTGCCACATAGTTGGTCAGATGTTTAGGTTGGGTTACACTTTTTTATCCACCTATTGAGTGCTTCCCAAAGACCTGGGTTAGACAGATGTTATCGTTTGATGGTGTTAAAGGGAACAGTGATAGGCTGTTCTAAGTAATATTGCCTTTCGCAATTGACCAATGGTGATTTTCTCAGTGTTGATGGATTTCTAGAGATTCTCTATGGAGATTCTAAGTCATCCAGATCATGGTTGTCTCAAGGGTACTTTTTCAAGAGACTCCTGAACTTTGTTTTTTCTTGAAGACATTTTGGTTCTCACCCAAGAAGCTTCATCAGTTTTGGATGAGAAGCAAAACATCTTCAAGGAAAAAGTCCAGCTGCCTCTTGAAAAATGACCTTTTAGAACAACTTCTAGTGATGTTCCAGTTGTTTTAGGAGTTCACCCAAGACACCTGTTGCTATTGGTATTACCTTTGTTTTCTTTTGCCATGATCATTCTACTATTGGCAGATTTTTATATATTTTTTTATTTTCTCTATTCTTTCTCTTCTATTCTGCTGTCTCCAGTTTCTTGCAAAGTCCATTATCCAGACTTCTTGTCTTATCAATAACTGTTAAGTCTGGAGTGTTATGTGGCAGGTGCTTGTCTGTTTGAATTCTAAAGGAGCCATGGTGGTGCAGTGGTTAGAATGCAGTAGTACAGGCTAATTCTGCCAACTGCCAGAAGTTTGATTCTCACTGGCTCATGGTTGACTCAGCCTTCCATCTTCCCAGGTTGGTAAAATGAGGACCCAGATTGTTGGGGGCAACATGCTGACTCTGTAAACTACTTAGAGAGGGCTGTAAAGCACTGTGAAGCAGTATATACGTGCTATTGCTAAAGCCCTACAGAAGTTTAATTTCTTTATTTTCTATTATTTTATGTACAGTAACTTGTGGCCCCGCCAGTTCTTGCTTGCAGGCAAGTATTTCTTGCAGATCTTCCAATACACCATTGTTGCTACTTTGTCATCCAGTTGTTTGTAGTCAATCTGTGCTATTTTTCTGCAGTGGCTAATTAGGTTGTCCGCTGTTTCTTCAGCTTCCTTGCAAAGGCAGCACTTGCTTCTTTCTTACAGGCAGAATTTTCCATTTCAGTTGAAGCAGAAAACTTTGCACCAATGCATCAATAGAGAATGCAATGAATGAGTCAACACCTAACGAAGCAGAAACCATGCCGTTCTGGGCCGATCTACAGGACAACCCAAAGAAATACAACAAGAATGCAGCTTGGGTAAAAAGAGATGGATAAAACAGTAAAGAAGCTGAAATGAAAGAATTTGCAATAACAGCAGAAGCGGTGGAGAAAAGAGCAAGGAAGAACAAGAATTGGTCAGAGCCAGGTAAAGATGAACTGCATGGCTTTTGATTGAAATGTCTGATTGTACACCTCACGCTCATTGTCAAACAGTTTGACAAGATACTGCAAAGCAGTGAAATTGAAGATTGGTTAACACCTGGCAAAACCTACCTGATAATGAAAGATCCAACCAAAAGGGCAGCACCCGCCAACTACAGTCCAATTATTGCTTATCACATTAAGATATGGGAGAATACAGAATGTAGACTACAGTTAGTCTTCAACTTACGACCACAACTGAGCCTAAAACTTCCACTCTTACGAAAGACAGTTGCTAAGCAAGTCTTGCCCCATTTTACAGCATGTTTTGCCACAGTTGTTAAGTGAATCACTGCAGCTCTTAAGCTAGTAACAAGGCTGTTAAATGAATCTGGCTTCTCCATTGACTTTGCTTATCAGAAGGTCACAAAAGGTGAACACGGGATCCCAGGACACAGCAACCATCATTAATACATGCCAGTTGCCAAGTGTCCAAATTTTTACCATGTGACTAGGAGGATACTGCAAAAGTGTAAAAATGCTCTTTTTTTTTTTAGTGACGTTGTAGCTTTTGAATGGTCACTTAAGGAATGATTGCAAGTTGAGGGCGAACTGTATATAATTCTGTTTTTTTTTCCCTACCTCTTCCTCCTTTTCTAAATCCCAACACCATAAAAACAATCCAGAAGGAGGCTTAAAGCAGCACTTGGGTTAATATTCTGGGTTTGGCCAAAGGCAGATGGCTGGGAGCACCTCTTCCAGCCTCTCAGTCAGGAGTCCAGAAGAAAGAAAACTATTGTACCAAAGCAAGAAAATCAGATTTTCCTTATTGGGGGCCCAAGGAAGCAGATGAGGTTGCTACAGAAGTGACTTGTATACACGATGGGACAGATTGTGGTTGTTTGAAAGGCTGCCTCATAAACCCAGGGATGACCTCTGAAATGTGGGTGGGTGGAAACCCATATGGGTTTAGCAAGCAACAATGCAGCTATACATTCTCACTGCTCAATTTTTGAACTAATTTATGAAGGTTTAAATTCCTAATGCTTAACACTTCTTAAATGAAAATGAGTCACTAGTTTGTAATATTGTATATCAATTAAATAATAGTTGTGATGCCCCTCCCGTCCACAACATGTCAGTTTCTCTCATTGTCTTTTAATAGATGTATTATTTATTTTTAATCCTTAGTGAGCTACCAGAGTTGTTCACAAGTCTACAGCCTTAAAAATTGAAATAATAAATAAATACAAAGCTGTATTACTGTACTACTGTTGCAGAAAAGAGCACCATGAATCCTTAAAAAAAGAAAAAGAAAAGAAAAGAAAAAGGCAAAAAGAAAAAAATCTAAAATAAAACTTCTTTTAAAAAAGCACGCACACACATAGGGCAAAAAGTATACTGAATTGCAAAGGTGAAATTCTTGGTGCTTTCCTAGTTTCTTCTTGATAGACACAACCAAGAAGAAAACCACATTCCCACCAATCCTGAGAGAGCAACTCTGTTATATGTAAACACTCCCTTCCAGCACTGATTATATTACCTAGTTGGGTAATGAAACATTTGCAAGAAAACAACCAAGCTCAGAGAACACCATTGGCCCCACAGTTCAACCCAGAGCTACAAATATTCTCCTTTATTGAATTGCAAGTATAAACAAACAAATAATAATAATGGCAAGTGTCAGCCCACTGTAAGACTGGTGGTAAGGGAAAGGTGTAAGACTGTAAGATTCACAGACCTTCTTTCCATTCTGATCAGCCCGGCATCCACCACTAGATTAAGGGTGTGCTTAGGATATCAAGGGAAAGGGACCCCCCTCTCCTTTTTTTCCAGTCCTGTTTCAAACAGGTTCACTGTTTTCAGCCCTAAATGAATCTTGTCAGTTAACCCATGGAAGGGCCAAGGGCTTAGGGCATCCATCCATCAGTTGGACTTGATTCAGCCCTTATTCTGATTCAGCAGGAAATTCCTGCAGTACCTTCAAATCAGGTGTAACTTCAAATCCACAACTTACCTTTCTGCACTGGATATGGTGGGTCAATGCCCAAACAGTATTCCCAAAAATCAGGGCAACAGTCAGAGATGGTTCGGTTGCAGAAGAGGTCACAGTAGCAAAGGGTGTCGAAGTAGAGGACGGTGCAGGCGTCATCCCTCCCATGACAACAAGCATCCTGCCGACCACAGTATGAGCCTTCTGCATCCCGTATCCCCTGTTCATGCAATCCAGGTGCTAGTTCCCTCCGTGTACGATGTACCCGAGCAGGAAGAGTCTCACCCATCAACAGCAAGGTGCACAGGAGAATCCAGTTTTTCATGGTGTTTTCTGAGTTACTGAATCACAGGTGTTCTGGATAGAGGAGACAAATACATCTGGAATCACATAGCATGACTTCTACTTAGCCCAGTCTGCTAAGAATGGAACCCCTTGGAAAGATATCAATTGTCCACAGGTGAACTGGAAAGCACTGGGAGAAACATTGATTCTTTTGCAAGTATATTTCCTAAACTGGATCATCAGGAAGTGGAGGGTGAACATTCTCCTAAGAAATTTTACTAACTATAATCACATGCAGCCTGAGGTAAATCCTTCAAGACAGATTAGACCGGGAAGTCAGTATCATGCAGGTCAAATATATATATATATATATTGTAGAACTATAGGAACAGAACCTTTCTGTCTGAATATGTTTTCCCGTCCCTCCCTAGGAAGGGTCTTGTGTGAGATGCTTCCTCAGGTTACATTCCTGTTCCAACTCAAGTTCCTTTTATCTGGACAATGTCTTGATAGCCATTTTTCCTCCTGTCCCACAAGGCCGTTTCCTCTTTCCTCTACCCATGGTTTCCACCTGGATTAGAAATTCCAGGACAATAGGGGAACCAACTACCTGGAAGGTAGGGCTAGCCCATCCCTTGTGTGTTACAGCCATCAAAACTACATGAAGGTATCCCTATCAGGTGCAAGAAATCAGATCCATATATGAAGGGTTCAAGTGTATTATATCTACCTATAATACAAGAATCTCCCCAGACTACTTGCCCTCTCTTGGGAATAAAAAGATAAGGTCCCATGAAACTTAAATGTGTCAATCCTTAGTCTCTTGCTGCTGTGCAACAACTGAAGACTAACTCTCCACTTGATCCATCCTCTTGGTCTGGCTGGGAGTTTTCCAACAGTTCAGGGAGTCACCAGGATTTTGAGGTCAAGAATACCTTTGCTTCTATTCATATACGCTACAAGTCCCTCTTGGAGTCTCTTGTTCTGCCTTTCCAGCATCTTGACAAGGGTAAGTTTTTGGCAAGTGTTTTACCTATAAAATTCCAAATCTGGCCTAAATCATTTCTGTTATATTGTCATGTCCATTGCTAGCCCATCATGTCTCTTGAGCACAGGCTTCCTAACCAGCTCTCAGAAGGGAAGATTACATTCGGGACATTGTCCTGTTTATACAGCCATCCAGAATGGAGAAAAGCAAACAAAAAGTTTGAACTCTCGATCTGAAAGAGCTCACTTGAACTGGGAGGGGAAGAGGATAACCATCCCACATCAGAATGTTTTGGTGGAGACTCAGAAGCTGGTATGTCACAGCAAATTAATTCCATGGCTCTTGGGCTCCTTCCGCTTCTCACTTTACCCTCACCCACAAAGTTGCAAAATAGATTTGATTAAGGGTCACCATATGTCTTACAAGTAGCCCACTGACCTTTCTGAAGAAAATGGCTGCTCAACCTTGTCTTCAACACATCTACTGTCTATAGCAAAAGAGCACATAGCCAACAGCCACAGCCACGCCTTTCCTTGCTGCACTTGACAAGTGTCATTTTTCCACTTTGGCTGGTTCAAAGCTTAGCCGAGCAGTCATTCTGCAGTGGATTATTTCAGGGTAAGCTTAAAGACAGAGATGGGGTAAGGTTTAGGTGCTGGATGCTCTGTTTCTATTGCCCCACAGTGCTGAGTAGACAGGCCCCAACTCTGATCCTGTGCTAAGTGGGCATGAGAAGAATCCTAGGATACCATGAAGATTCCTTCAATTATGCCGGGACTGTGATTGAGGGGTGCCTTGCAGTTGTCCAGCTCATTTATCTGCTCTATGTACAAAGATAGTCTGGCTCACCCAACATGCTAAGATAAGGCCAGAGGGTCTCACAATACACTGACCCCCAGATTACCCAATCCTATTTTCACTTGGTCTTACGAATTGTGGGAACCCAGCCAGTCTGAATGGCTTTCACTTTCTCTTCCCAGAGAACTGGACACTAACACTACACCTACTTGGCTTCTTCCCTGGGTGTTTTTCTCTTGTGCAAGTGAACTAATCAAAAAGCAGAAAACTACAAACCTAGAATGCCCAAATAAACCCGCTTGGGGGAAAAGGAGTTCCTACAGAAGAAAATCTGGGCTTGAAGTCCTATATCCCCCGTTTCAGAAGCCGTGTGCCCGATAGGCACCATCTCCACCCCTTTGCAAGGGAAACTTCTCCTGCCCTTCCAACTTCCCCAAACCTTCCCCTCATAAGGAATGAAGACCTCTTGGATGATCTCAGCCTGCAGCAATGCAGTAGGGTCACCATTTCCCAAACCAGAGGCAGCGGTGGTGGCCACCAACTCCGGAGGAAGGAGCCAAAGGTCAAAAGCCAAGGAAGGAATTTCCTCTGCCTTTCCCGTGCACCTTTCACTTGGTTTTCCGGGATGCAGGGGCCGTCCCACCGAGCTTCAAGTTTCACTTTGATTAACTTTGCTCCCTGAGCTGTTTTAGCAAAGTCCAAGGCAACCAAAGGTTTGCTTTTATGCACATCTGCCTTATCTGCCCCGCCCAGCAGTGTGAACTGTAAGATCTCTAGCTTCAGAGGTATGTTCAAGTTCAGAAGGGATTCGTTTCTTTCTTTTGTTTCATTTCAGAAGCATTTTGACAGGGGCAGCAGGAGTATGCAAGGATCCCAGAAGACATTCCTGATCTACTAGAGACCTCCCAGGTCCCTCTGGGAGGCTTATAGAGTTGTTAAAAGCTGCGTTGGTGGCTTTCTAGTCAAAAGGTCTGTTGCTGCCCCACCCAGATACACCGGATAAAGGAAATCTATGCCTGACCAGCCACTCAAACGCAAACATCAGCTGCACATTTAAAACTGAATACATGTCACTCTGTCTAAGTACTCAGAGTCCACCTCTACTTGAATACTTTCCTAATATGGATTTTAAAAAACAATTCTGAGGTTTTAGAATAGCATTGGAAAAATTGTTTGTAAAATGGGGAAATGCCCTTCTAAATTACTTTGCATGCCACTTCTGTCACCTTGGGAGAAAGGTAAGCATATTCTTTCCAAAATGATTTTCCCAACCTTCTTTTAGGTCTTGATGAGCTTCCTCTGGCAGAAAGAGGATAAAAATCAAAGACATCATCATTTAGGGCTGATGGGTGGAATGATCGATTTATCCATTTTTTTATTTCAGTTCTCCTGAGTCTTAAAGAAATACACGGGGCATTTTTATTTAATAAAGGAGAATATTTGTAGCTCACGGTTGAAATGAGGGGTCCTTGGTGCTCTCTGAGCTTGGCTGTTTTCTTGCAGATGTTTCATTACCCAAACTAGGTAATAACACCCACTGACTACCAAGTTGAGGTAATGAAACGTCTGTAAAAAAAACAGCCAAGCTCAGAGAGCACCAAAGACCCCTCATTTTAGGAATGCCTTTTTCCAATATTGTACTAGCAAGTAGCATTGCATTCTTTCTTGCCTATTCTGCATTTTAATCACCTGCTGTGCCCATTTAAGCCAGTTCCACTTCATCAAACCCCAGGGCTGTGTTCACACACTGCCCTTCACCTGCTTTCAGAATTAACCCATTTTCTGGAAGGAGGATCACTCAATGCACTCTTCCTGAAATGATCCAAATTGCTTGAGTTCACACAAGGTTATCTCAAAAGTCTCAGTAACCGAGCTTGGCATATAGCAGAAAAAGCATTTTTGGAAGGTACGCTTGACTCCAGCCAAGAGACGACACTTTCAAAGCTCCAGAAGGAAGAGAGATTTCGACTTTGGAGGGTCCAAATCGGAAAATTGCAATGGAAAGTCAGGAGTTTATTTTATTAAAAGGCACCAGCTCCTTGCTCACTTCATCAGGTGCCTCTGTGAGGGGCAGCTCCTAAAAGTTTGTTGCCATTTAATAAAATGTGTCTGCGGAAAACGGTGCAACGGGTATTAGACATCCTTAGATTTTTCTTGCCAGGTAAATAACATTGCTCTCCTTTCAGATTCGGGAGTAGATAGAAAGATGCAGACCTAAAAGACGGCTAAGCATCTCCTGGAGGGGATGTCCTTCTCCCCTTTCAAAGCGGGGAGCATCAGCGGACGCAACCCCCTTCTAGCCACTGCCCAAATCTGGGGCGCTCTACTTTTTCTCTTCCTCCCGATTCCTGGGACTGCATTCCCCCATCATCCCCGCCCCCTCCCCGGGCGCTAACCTGCCTGTAAGCATCAGAGGAAGCGAGGTGGAGAAGGAGGAAGAAAAGAAAGTGGAGTGGGAAGAGGGAGGGAGGGAGGGAGGGAGGGAAAGAGACAGGGACTTTTGCCCCCGCCAAAACGGCTTGTACCTGGCGCGTCTGTGCGCAAATGGAGCGGTCGGTCTCTCCGCCTCTGGTCGAGCGCGCCGGGCCAAAGTCAGGCGTCGCAGGCGCAAGTCCCTCTCCCCTCGACGTCCCAGCCCTCGCCCTTATATGGAGCCGGGGACTCCCAGCCCACCTCCCCTCCCTCGGGCCCTCCCTTCCTGCCCACTCCGGAGCCCCGAGAGAGGGAGCCAGGTAGGGCGGGCGGCTGGCTGGCTGGTTGGTTGGCAGACTGACTGGCTGGATTCGCTCCTCAGATCCAGGGGAAGAACTCGAGGCTCAATCCGAGCGCGACTCGGTAGCAAACTCGCCCGCTGGCCTCGATAGCAGCCGCTCTCCAGCTTCGGCTTCTCCTAGAAACCGCTGCAGCTGCGATAAGCTACCAAGGGTACGGTCAAAAAAGTCAGGACGGCGGCCGCAGCGGTTTTTGATACACATCGCATATCTTGTGGACCTTCTCCAATAAGAAGGAGTATCGCGTTCGTGCGAGCCTCCCCAATGGGTCATTGTAGACCACTAGGCGCATCCAAAGCACCGGAGGGCAGGACAAGAAACAATGGTTGGAAACTAACCAAAGAGAGAAGCAACCTGGAATTAAGGAGAAACTTCATCACAGTGAGAACAATTAACCATTGGAACGGCTTGCTCCAGAAATCGTGGGTGCTCCATCACGGGAGGTTTATTAAGAAGAGGTTGGACAGTCACTTGTCTGAAATGGTATAGGAGGGTTCTCCTGCCTAAGCAGGGGGCTGGACTAGACGACCGTTAATGTCCCTTCCAGCTCTATTCTACAGCAGCTGTGGAGGTCCACCTCATTTCACTGCTAATGAGCCCCCTCCTGGTTCTTTTGGTCCTATCAATGGGCCAAACTGGCTTACCTCCCCAAGTCAGGTGATCTTACACTGCAAAAACATATGGACTACACAACTCGATCAGGGCAAAACAATAGACACAATCTACATAGACTTCTGTAAAGCCTTTGATTCAGTGGTACACAACAAACTGCTCCTAAAACTAAAATCTTATGGTATCTCTGGACACCTGCACAACTGGATAGAAGCATTCCTGTCAAACAGGCAACAAATGGTCAAAATTGGGAGCGTCCTATCAAATTCTGTACCTGTCAACAGTGGTGTCCCCCAAGGCAGTGTTCTAGGACCAACTCTCTTCATACTCTACATAAATGACCTCTGTGATCATATTAAGAGCAACTGCGTTCTCTTGGCTGATGATTTAAAGCTATTCAACACCACAGACAATACTGCTACCCTTCAAAAAGACCTCGACTATGTGTCAGAATGGTCAAACAAATGGCAACTTCAAATCTCAACAAATAAATGCTCTGTCTTACATATTGGTAAAAAAAAAAATCAGAAAATAGAGTAGTCAGTGTCTGGAATACTCTACTTGACTCTGTGGGTTTCCCCAAACCCCAAAAACTTGAACCTTAGACTGTCTACTATTGACCTCACCCCTTTCCTAAGAGGCCTGTAGGGGGCGTGCATAAGCGCACCAACGTGCCTACCATCCCTGTCCTATTTTTTCTCTCTTATAAGTATCTATCTCATGTATTCAAAACTGTGTTTATTCTTATACTCGTATCTTGTAAGCGATTGACAAATCAAATAAATACTAAAATACTAAATCCTGGAAGGAGAGTGGAGTGAGAGGGAGAGACGAGGGAACCTCTCCAGGTCCAGAAGGTCAAAGCATAAAGCTTCATGGCTGGGTGGGATGGTGCTCAGGGACCCCTTAACTGCCTGGTTTAAGAACATAATGCATTTGCTTGCCATACCAGTTTTGACTATGGCTTACATACTCCTTCCTCCTATTTTCTTCACAACAACAACCCTGTGAGGTGGCTTGGACTGAGAATGACTGGCTCAAAATCACCTAGCTGACTTTATGCCTGAAGCGGGACTAGAACTCACCATCTCCTGCCGATTGGCCCAAAGTCACCCAGCGAGTTTTCATAACTAAGGTGGAACTAGAACTCTCTGTTTCCTGGCTTCTAGCCTGGTGTCTTTACCACTAGACCAGCGGCTACCAACCTTTACAGCTTGGTGGACTGGGGGGGGGGGGGGTTGGGGGGGCCAGGTGGTTCTATGCAAGAAACAGGCATGTGCACTCATGCGCACAGCTCCATTTGCACAAGCGGAGCTGCACACATGTGTGCTCGTGCACTGCTTGCGCAGCCTGGTTCCAAACAGGCCATGATGGTCCAGGAGTTAGCTGTGGCCCAGGGATTGGAGACCCCTGTACTAGACCACAGGTGCCTATAGCGTATATACAGGTCAACTCCAGCTCACAAAAATCGAAATAAAGAAATGCATTTATTTAAGAAAGTGTATATGGCCACTCAACTCACTCTCAGTGACTCCAGGCAGTTTACAACAATACATTGCCACAGAAATGGTAGAAGATGGTAAGGACAATGGAGCAAAAGGTCTCTCTCTCTCTCCCTCCCTCCCTCCCTCCCTCTCTCTCTCTCTCT